GCTTTTCTCGACTACCTCCTGTTGACCATGGCAGTCTCTGAACACAGGAGCAACCAAGAAGCAAGGTAACCAGGCAGGTCAGCAGTCAGGTATACAAGTATCAATCAACACTGCTAAGCAAAAGTAGTTGAGATCGCAGGTAGAAGTCAGAACACAGTTAAGCAGTTAAAAGCATCACACAGTTCAACAGAAAAGGAGGCCAAGGGCTGATATCGGAAAGCATCAATCACAGTCAAAAGTCTTGGAGATAAGGCCAAGGAACAAGATCAACGTGGATTTCAAGCACCAGTAAGGCAGACATGGAAGGCTTTTAACAGCAGAGCCTGCTGAGTCCCACCTGGGGCCCAGCTGCACTACATTAGAGCTCTCCGGTCAGAACCCAACTCACAAGGAACCCCCTTTCCCCCAAGTAGACTTCTGCTTCAGACTCATACTTCAGTGAGGCTCCCTGGGCTGGACCTGCCTTCTCCAGGGCTGTTGCCCCGAGACTTGAGGGTGCAGTGCTCAGCTAAGTTGCGCCTGAATGCATAGTGGCTTACTCCTGAGTTGACCTTTCTAGGATTGCTCTGTAAATGTTTGAGCCATGCATGGCTGGCTGCCATGCTTAAAGTATGCATGATGGTGCATGGGTAGAAAGCTTGCACTGAGCCTGGGGAAAGGCTGTTACTGATTGCATGAGCTGCATGTGGAAGGCTCACATTCAGTCCCTGCATTTTCAGATACGACTGGAAAAGGCAGTTGTAAATCTGGGATGTAAATCAGTACACATCTGGCCCACCTGGGTTCCCAGTCTCTGGATTCACCCAGATGTCATGTTCCCAGCTCACCTCCTCCTTCCCAGCGGTAGCTGCTTGGATGTTGATGCAGTCTTCCTCCATTCTAAGAGGTCGAAATATTGACTTCTCCTAAGGTTTGGGTGCTGGCAGTAAGAGCTTAAAGCTAAACTATGCTGTGAGTTTAAAAATAAATGGTGCTGTCCTTTTTGCCTTCAGCACCCCCCTGGCCACCCCACGGTCAAGCAGTCCCTGAATTCAGTTCTCCGAAACTGAATGCAGCCCTCGGCAGGGTTTTGATGAGCTTAGCTGGAATTCATCTGTCTTCAGTTTATGGATTTCCTCTTGTGCTCGGCCCAGTCTTAGAAAGTGACCACTCAGCAAGTCCAGTTGCACAACCAGCAGCCTCCTTGTTTAGCTGCACAAACAAAGGCGGCAAGTGCCTGCAAAGCGGGGGCACTGGTGGCATTGTGGTTGCACAGGGCTTGACTCCATGTGCTTGCCTGGCAGTTGTGCTCAGGGCTCCAAGAAAGGAGCTGGGGAATGGGGGGGGGGGGGGGCTGAGCCCAGGGAATCCCATCTCCAAAACGGTTTCCTCACCCATCCCTGCTCCGTGGGCTGAACGAGGTTCAAGATTCCTGCTCCAGGGAATGCTAAAGCAGGTGGAGAAATATTCTGGCATGCCATGCACCATCTCTCTCCCTCTCTCTCCCTCTCTCTCTCTCTCTCTCATTCTCTGGTGGCCTCACATCAGCTTCAGCCCTGTGTAAGGGAATGGTGATGGGAACCGCAGAGCCCTTGAGTCACCTGAAAGAGCTGTTTTCGCCCTATCCCAGAATGAACCTACATCAGTTATCTCTGCCGCAGAATCCTTGGCTTGGAAAGGAATTGAACAGCACAGTCCTGGTCGCTTGCTGCCGCTTGGAGAACCAACGTGTCTCTTGTGCAGCAACAACACCGGGCAGCACTACAGGGCTGTAGTGCTGTTTTCCATCAAAACATGCACAAGATTGTGCCCTTAGGCTGCAATTCTGTACCCTGGGGGGGAATGTCCCACCTGCACACACAGTGGCTTACTCTTGAGCAGACTTTTATAGTCTTGCACTGTAAATAGCTTGAACATGAAACATAAATGTTAGTGCGCAGGTGCATTGTTTGCATGGGCATGCGGAAGGGCTGTAGCTCAAAGTAGAGTTGGAAGGGGCCAAGAAAACCATCGGGTCCAATCTCCCAACAAGCAGTGCTTTGTGGAAAGGGAAGTGGCTGTCGGGGGAAGTCAGCATTGCCGGAGTAAGGGCCTCGCCCCAGTATGCACCCTACAGTGCTGGGTAGTATAGGACCCACTATCATATTCTGCTGGTTGCAGCTATGGGGCTCTTCAAGAAACTGGACAGCTCTCTGAGTCCCATTACTAATGCCTGGTAATTAATACCTATGAGGTCTGTTCTCTGAGCTGATTCCTGCCCTTTGGGTCCCATGTAAGGGTTTAGAGTCACAACAGGAAGTGGAACTAGTTGTTTCCAAGCCATTGATGTCAGAAGAGGGATGATAACCCGTAATGTTTGTGTCAGCTGTTGATGAGTCTCCCTAGGATATGTAACACAGCTCCATAAACTTCCTGTTTTGCCACAGCTGTCTTTGTAGCTAACTGAATTATCTTTACTGAAAGCAGAGGGAATGCTGCAGGAATAGCCTAGCTAGTTCCCAACTAGGAAGGCTGATGTGGAAGGAATCTGTTTCCTAGTTGTGGGTTGCCCGGAAAGATCCTAACGGTGAGTTTCAAGGGAGGCTTTTTAAAACACTGTCCAGCACCTCCTTGAGCGAGATGGAATCACACTTTGCCATAAAAAGCATTCTCCACCCCTCTTGCCCACTCAGCCAGTGTGTTGTCATTCCCCCGGGGGGCTTTTATACACCAGGAAAGCCAAGAGTCCAGAGGGTCCAGAGTCCAGTAGGCCTTTCCTCTCTGTACACATGAAAAATATCCCTTATCACCTGTTGTATCCAGGTGGTGGTTTTGAGTACTGTCCATCATAGAGCTGTTGGTTTGTGGGTTGTGCACGTGGCAAACGGACGCTACTTCTCATGCCGTCTTTGGTTTGTGAGGGAGCAGTCTGAGGCAAGCAGAGCAGCTGCTTCACTCATGTGGCGCACTCCTCCGTACATTTTATCTGTGGGACCACACAACATCACCATCCTAGAACAGCTTGCCCCTGTATGGGGTGAACCATTCAGACAACAGGTTTCCCATGAGCACAAGGGCAGTTGGGCCTGCTTTGGTCCACCATGTCCTGACGGAGCAGAATAGTTGTATGGATTGGCTTTTAGGCTAGATAATCTGTCTCAAGAGGAAGCATTAATGGATAATCCTGCCTCATTCCAGTAGCCGGACTAGATGAACTTTGGGAACTATCTGAGCTCTAGTGTTCCTGAAGAAGTCGCCCCATGAGTTTCATTTAATAACAGTGGTGTCAGCTGCAAAGGTTCTGGAGACAGCAAAGTCTCTGATCCCCCCGCGTTTTGTTTTTCTTCTTATGAGCTGCACAGATCCTTTTAATGCTGCCACTTGACAAACACTCTTAATGTGGCTTTGTACAATTTACATTTTGTCTTAAATGTTTTGTTGAACATTGCTGGATTACTGGCTCCTTTCTTCTTCCTTTACGGCCAGCTAGCTAGAACATCCTAACATCTATCTTATTTTTAAGAAGATCCCCAAAAGTTGTAAAGTTCTCTTCTTCGGAGGTCTCCTCCCTCAGCTATGGCACCAACTGTGATCCCTTTTTAATAAGAGTTTACATGTTGGCAGACAGAGTATCCTGGACTTGTACCAATGCTCATTACTGCATGCATGCAAAGTTTATTTGCTTGTTTCCCACCACTGCAAGGAATGTGAGCATTGAAAAACAAGAATAGGGTGTTTCAGTTAAATTGAACTTGTATCATGTACACTAGGTATTTTAAAATGCAACTTCATTTGAAAGAAGACCCAAAACCTTTGGCTAGGTAAGTCAGCATGCAGAGGAAGTGGCAAAATTGGCAGAAGTGTAAGAGAAACCTCCATACCCATCAAGTTTCTACTCCTTCCATTGAGGAATACTTTGTTTGACAAGGGTCTAGATGTTTGTATCAACCAAAGTCACATCAGGTGGCCAGCTTGATATTTGATGCAAACTTGTACCTGTGCTCGGTTCATCTTGCTAAGCTATTCCAATTGCATGCTCTGGATTTTTGTGTGGATGGTAAAAGTGGGAATTAAAGGAAGGAGCATGAAACAGACAATCCATATTTAGAGACAAGGGGGAAGGTAGTGAGGAGAACCAGAAAGGCATGTAGAGTGCTTGTTCCTTCTCATAAGAGGATAAGAAAGGCCAAGCTGGTTCAGTCTAGTCCACCTCACAAGGGGCCAACCAGGAAACCCACAAGAAGGATACAAGTCCCCATGCTCTCCAGCAGCTGGGGTGTATTGGCATACTAACTCTGGTACTGGAGGTAGCATATGGCCATCAGAGCTGGTTGCCATTGATAAAGTTTGTCCTGGTAGCCAATGATAAAGTTTGTCCTCCACAAATCTGTCCAATCCCCTTTTAAAGCCATTCAAATTGGTCATCATGGCATCTTATGGAAGTGAATCCCATAGTTACACTATGTGTTGGGTGAAGAAGTACTTTTTTTTAATCCATCCTGAACCTCACACCTGTCACATTCACAGAATGATCCCATTGGGTTATCATGAAAGAAAAAGGTCTCCCTCTCCATTTTCTCCACATCTGCCATATCTTCCTATCTTAATTTACCTTTTCTTAAATGACATGGGGGTTTCTTTATTATGTTGGAAAATATCACTCTTGTAATTGTGCACCTCTGCTTCACAGTCACCTCTACTATAGTACAGTTTTCAGAAATACATTATCCCAGCTAAGCAACCTATATTGTGCCCAACCACGTATGTTTTCTAAGAGAAAAAACTCCAGTGGATTCATAGGTTCTTAATCTCCAAAGATTTCCCAATGCACTTCAGTGGAGAATACTCAACACACATCCTTTTGTGTCTGTAATAATTTCCCTCTATTGAAGTGAATGGGGAGGCCTTCATATACAAGCCCTTTTTGTGTGCTATCACAGCATATGGTACATTCTAACATGGGGCATTAAGCAAACAGAAAATGAGTTTCTTATCTAGACAGATGAAGTTACTTTCCCTTCTTTTTTTGATGTTCTACATAGCCCAAGCCAACAAAGGGAAGGATGCGCATCCATTGCTTGGAGAATGTTGACAAAGCCCTGCAGTTTCTTAAAGAGCAGCGAGTGCATCTTGAAAACATGGGATCCCATGATATTGTGGATGGAAATCACAGACTAACCCTTGGCCTTATTTGGACTATAATATTACGATTCCAGGTAAAGCAGAATTATCTTTGGTGTTTTGCCTAACTTGCTTTGCTCGGCTCCGCTTCGCCCCACCAACAGTTGGGTCATTTACACCCACCGTCTTAATGGTGGTTTGTTTGAAACTAGCCAATTCCAGACCATGGGTTGTGCAGGTTAAAGAACACGACAGTGGTCGGCTTATGGTCAACGCACAGTCGACTTGGATGCCAGAGGATAGAGGACGTAGATCACTTCTGAAATGCCCACTGTATCTAGATTTCGCCAACTCCATACTTTGTTCACGTTGGAGATAATCCCTCCTAAAGCAAACTTTCAATTTTATTTGCTAGGACAGATTATTTGATTACCTCCACTGCCAAATGTGTTAAATTGCCTCTAAGGAAGAGGATTTAAAAAATAATAATAATGGCAGATGATGATAATATAGGCCACTAAACTAGCTTAACTATCTGGCCAGGGCGGCTTATTTTATATTGTATGGTTGTATTTTATTCTTATGTTTACATTTTTAATTTATGATTATAATTATTTATTTTATTGTTGTAATCTGCCCCGAGGCTTCGGCGAATGGGGCGGCATAGAAATGTTTTAATTAATTGATTGATTGATTGATTGATTGAGCAGACAACCTATTGACAGTCTTAAATTATCACTCATTTTCCTGTTATGAAATCTAGCCTGATTTTTGGCATGTTGACACTCTACTTGTCTTGTTTTGTGTTTCTAGTCTGACGGCTTTTTCTGAAACTGAAACAAACAAATCCAACTTGTTTAAATAAACCATAGTTAATATTAACCACACTTTAGGGTTCAGATAGCATGCCAAAGTCTGGCTATTCTAAAAGGGAAGGTCTTGATTTCCTTGCAGAGGGGTGAATGTGGAAGCACACACATCCCCTGGTGGGGCGTGAGGGCAGGGGGATATCAAATGCATGGCAAAGAAAGGTATTTGTTGTTTTGGAATATTATGCACCCTTGCTTGAATACCTGTGCATGAATTTCTTTCACGACTTTGCTAACGTTATTCTCCCAGAAGTCTGAAACTGGTATGAAACACATTGCGTGAGAATTTGGCAAATGAATTGCGATTCACTCTGATACATGGCATTGCAGATTCAGGATATCAGTGTCGAAACAGAAGACAACAAAGAGAAAAAATCTGCTAAAGATGCACTACTCCTCTGGTGCCAGATGAAGACAGCTGGGTGAGCTTGAATTATGTGGCCTCTTGGTGCAACATTCTATTGTTAAGCGGGATAGTTACTGATTTGCATTTAAAAGGTGCCAAGGGAGTGCCCTTGTCGCAGCCTGGGCTGACTCAGGACTTTTTGTGGATTCAGTGCTCCATACTTGTACTATTATGGGACAGACAACAGACATCCTCCCTAGATGCGGAATTGAAGGGCTATTCATTCTCCAAAGTGTTGTTTAGAGTAGTTGTCTTCTCAGAAGTCTCCATGATGGAGCACAGGCAGGACCCTGCTGCACCCACTCCCATTCTGAAATTTTGGGACATGGAAATGCAGAGCTTGTGGATCCTGGTAGATTCTCTTTTAAGAGCCTGGATGTGTGCAAGCCCTCCTCTCTGCTGCCCCAAAGACGTCTGGCCTGGCGTCTGCCTCCAAATGGCCTCCAAATGAACAACCTGAGCTGGAGTTTCTCATCCATTTGGGGTCCACTTCCCTTGGAATCATGTTCTAGAATGGGTTGGACAACTGCAGGCAGTCCAGAACACGCAGCACCCCACCCCCAGGCCTTAAAAGGAAAATTGCCAGTTCGCCCTCACAGTTTGGCATCAAACCACTGCATAGGAGGACAGAGTGCTGCAAGGGTTAAATTCAGCTTGTTGGCAAGCTAATTCAAACCTTTTTGATGCTCTGTGATGGAACGTGCTAAATTGGTGCAGAACCTGTATCTTCCTCTGACAGTTCTGTGGGATGCTACAGATGCCATTAGGTTTTGTTACCAAAAAAATCAGGGACGAGGTGAGGGCTGCTGAGGGCCACATGCATCCTGCAGACTGCATGTCGCTCGTCCCTGTTCTAGAACCTTCTCCCATCCCATTGCTTCTTAGGTTTAGCATGGATTGCTCAATTGGCTAGGCTGTGTGAGTGGGGCATCTCACCAAGAGTGTTGTATCTTGGTCCCACCATCTGCTTGCATCCTTATTTGACTTGCTGCCTCCTGAAGGTTCCCCCCTCTTGCCTGGCTCCCTGCATCCCATGCCACCCACAGAGACCCCCATGCCTGCCCCCCTTAGATGTCCAGTTGGGGCTTCTGGGAATTCACATGTTAATGATAGTTCCCTTTTCCCAGCGACAGTAAGTTGATTCTCAGTTCCATACCCAAGTTGTCTACATCTTTCTGTTACACTGAGTGGGGTTGCCAGTGGATTATGTGGCAGCACAAACCCAGTTTTGCTCCACTAGTAAACAGCCTGTAGAAGACTTGAAAGCTGCTTGAACACTCATTACTGCTAACTTGAGCAGCTAGATGACAACTCTCATTTTTCATGTCTCTGAACGTTAATCCTATATTGATTGCATTTCCTTTGTTTTCTTTGGGTTCTTCTGTTGTGTCAGCTATGCCAACGTCAACATCCACAACTTCACCACCAGCTGGAGGGACGGCATGGCTTTCAACGCACTAATCCATAAACACAGGTGGGCACTTGTCAAAATATGACCAGCGGATGCAGAATCACAACGCTCTCTCAGCAGTTACCCCGGATCTCCCTAATGGAACCTCTGCATTGTACCCCCTCTGGCTAGCTCTTCCATCCCCTCTCTTCTCTGATGTCTGTGGCTTAACCTCACAGCTCTCGTCCCAGCTGGAACCAGTATTAATAGCCCAATCCTATGCATGTACTCTCGGAATGAAATCCGAGTGTTCAGTGAGGATTAATTTCAGGTAAGTGTGCATAGGATTGCATTCAAAGTGCCTTTGCACAGATGTATCCTTTTATCTGAGCTCTTCCCTCTGTAAGCACTGTAAGCTTCTCAAGGCAGAGACCTGTATTGTGTCCTGTTTTTCCCTAAAGCATCGTGTAACATGGATGCCACCTCATTGATAGTAACAATGTTTAAAGCGGCATGAACCCCGTAAGAGAGAAACACGCACTTGGGTGGGACTTGCTTTGCCATTCACCAGTTTCTTCTGATGAAAAAAGCAAGTGGGTGTTGAGTTTATAGAGATGCTTGTCTCTTCAGGAGTATGAAGCACTTCTTGGCAAACAGTGGAGAACAACTTTCCACCTAACCCTCATTCTTTGAAAGCTGACCATTTTCAAGATGCCGTAGTTGTTTTAGGTTTTTGCTTTGGCCTCCTATATTTTTTTATTTTATTTCATTTCTGTACCACTCAGTAAAGTTCTGTAGAAGGTTCATAAAAATGGCAGATCACAAGTCACTGATAGTGAAGATGATGGTGATTGTTGTTTCTGTTGACTGGAACTAGAAGCCTGCAGCAAAATATTAGGCTGAAAAATTCCAGCATACAGAACCCTTTCCCTTTAGCTCATGTGGGAGTCATTCGATCTAGAATAATCTCTAGTTGAGCTACCTCCGTAGTTGTGTCTCCCCACAACCCAACCCATGGTCCGTCTCTCACCTGTACTCTTCCCTTGCCTGCTCGCATCTCCTCGCTTGCCTGCTCTTCTGTCCTCTGCCTCTGTATTCTTCCACCCTGCTCCTGGAATTATGCTTTCCCTGGTGCCTTTCCTCAGTGTGAGCCTTTACTATCACAAAATCAGTACAATACAGACAAACCTGCCTCTGCCTGAGAAGCTGCAAGGAACGCATGATAACCATGTGTCTTGTTAGGGTACAATCCCATGAGTGCTGTCTGGGGAATGTTGGAAGTTGTGGACATTTTCTGCGCCTAGGTTTGGCACTCATTCACCTCTCAGCTTTTCTAGTGCTGTTGCTAATATTCCTAACCTCTTTTTAATTCATGTACCATAGAGGAAAGGGCTTATGTACCAAAGACCCCAAGTGAATTGCTTTTCTTTTTACTCCATTCTTTGCTCAGGCCCGATCTTATTGATTTTGATAAACTGAAGAAATCAAATGCACACTACAATCTGCAGAATGCTTTTAACTTGGCAGAACAACACCTCGGCCTTACTAAACTGCTGGATCCAGAGGGTAAGGATGGCCAGCATGGATGCTGATACCTTCGTATCCTTGAGCAACAGAAGAGCCGGTGCCTCAATCACATCCAGCCAGTTCCTCTGTTCTCATTGTCTCCCCACACCTGTATGCCTGCGGGATGTGAAGGAGTGGCGGAGAATCAGGAAAGGCACTCCCATCCCACAGCAACTGAGGCAGTCAGTCAGTCAGGGACAGAGTAAGCCATTCCATAGGTGCAAGCCCTGCGTTAGCTAAATCATCTCATCGCAGTAGAATCCCTGTTGTTCATCCTTTTGCCACAGTGCAAGGACAGCCTGTTAACCCCAAACGTGTGTCTTTCGGAGTAATCTGTGCCATCCATTGTGAGCACATTTCAGGCTGCTGCTTGCATTTTCATTTGGGAAGTAAATTTGGATTTTGTTTGAAATTATCAACGCCAGAGGTTTGATGGAAGTTAGAAGTAGGATCCTCTGCACAGCTCTGGTTCATCCCCTGGCCGTTGGTGATGCCTGTAAGAACTTACTTAAGGTCGTGACATCACGGCGGTCGGTGTTTGCCCGTCTTTTATTAGCGTGACTGAGTGTTATGGGGTGGGACAGGAAAACCCTCTTGGGAGCCAGTATTGTGAAACGGTTAAGGGGTTGGGTTGGAACTGGCAAAACCAAGGTTCAAGTCCCCAGTCCACTTGAGGCTCCCTGGGTCAGTCATACTCTGCCAGTCTGTTGGGAGTGAGAAAGGGGGCTGCTTTCGGCACACGTTCGTCTGGACTGCTGGCTGGGCTGAAGGAGAAGGAGTCTGGAATGTGGGCCAAGCTGAGACTTAGTGTCAGAGAAGCTGAGACAATTACCTCAAAGACAGACTCCCCAGGTGGACAGGCGGTCCCTGGGAACAGCCAAGATGCACTGCTGGTGGGAGGGGATTTGGAGCAGGGGAGTTACTCAGACGCAGACAAGGCAACCCTGGCTCTTGACCCCATGATGCATCATTACCAGAGGAGGCAGCCCAGTTAGAGGATTGGCGTGCAGGGAGGGGGCATCCTCAGTTTCAGGAGGCCCCTCCCAAAGCGATGGGGCCCAGGCATGCTCATAAGGAGAGTTCCCGGAGGTGAATACTAGATTGGGTTCAACAAACCACTCTGTGCATGCTCAGAGATTCATCTTGGGTGTTTGTGCTTTTTGGTCAGGAAAGAACGCTTTGTGAAGAAAAGTTCTGTGGCTTTGAATGTGCAAAGCAGGAACCTCAGCTCCTGATGCAATCTAGCCTACCAGCAGGGTTGTTTTGAAGTTAAAGTGTGCATGGAGAAGCATTGGAGCAAACTTGGGCTATCAGGAGAGGTGCTAGGTATCGAGAAGAGAGAGTTCATATCCACAGAGGGGATAAAATACACAAATTTGCATGTGCTAATTTAGATATGCTGCAAAGTCTTTAAAGGCTGCATCCTAAGGGCACCCCTATTTGTAGAAAGGAATGTGTGCACAGAGGGGAAAAGGACAGGCAGAAAGATTTCAAGGCAAAGGAGTTGAAACACATGTGGACAAAAGGCAGCTAATCCAAGGGATCAGATGCCACAGAAATCAGGGCCCCGAATCGAATCTTTATTTCAGCAAGTGCCCCAGATAGCAGGGTGGTGGGCTCTAGCCCTAAGGGGCTACTCTGTAACACAGGGGCATTCCAGCTCTGTTCTAACATAGCCTTTGTTTTGTTTTCAGATATCAGTGTTGACCATCCTGATGAAAAGTCCATTATCACCTATGTGGTGACCTATTATCACTACTTTTCAAAGATGAAAGCCTTAGCTGTTGAAGGAAAGCGTATCGGAAAGGTTTGCAAGCTGTGGCTTTATACCCCTGTGCAGCTCCTTGAAATCTCCTTTTCTGCTGATTTCTTAATCCTATCATATGCAAATCTTTTAATGCCACTTTAATAATCCTTTTGGCTTTTTACTTTGAATTCTTTAGGTCATATTGGTTCTGTTTTAAATATATTTAATCCAGTTGATTATTTATTAATTTATTTGGTATGTTAATGGTTTGTACATTAACATTGCAGCTTTCCATTTGTACCTTCTTGAAGGACTTTGTTTCTTCTTTTGAGCCCACAAAAGTTTGACATTAAATAGGCATAAAGTTTTTGAATATAGAAAGTAGTAATGTAGTTCATGATCTTAATTTCGGATCATGTTCTTGTTTTTAAATTATAAGGTCTCATGGACCGGGTGATGACAACTCAAAAGTGTAATCGAAAATGCATTAAAAATAACAAAAGCAAAAATATATGAACAAATATACAAAGAAACATACAGAAAATATGCAAAATGTATAAAAGCAAGCATGCATTAAAAATTACCCGGCATTTACCCTGTGTTCACAAAAGATTTGCTTTATTTTAGTAACTTACTTGACACCTTTCCCCTTCTGGATGATAGAAATATGAATGACATACCAATGTACACAGTTACGCTAAGGATGAGTGGCCTCAGAACAGTGTAATTCTCATACTTAGCCCTGGTTTGCACAGGTGTGTATGAATGAGACCGGAAGCCTCTAAGTGACTGTAGCAGCTAGCAGTCCAAACAGCTGGCACAGTCACCAACAGAGAGCCTCCTTCCAACCCTTCCTGAGCACTGCCCCAATTAAACATTTTTAATTTAATGTTTATATTTATTGTAATTTATATTATAATTACTTTTAATTTATTGTTGTAAGCCGCCCCGAGGCTTCGGCGAATGGGGCGGCATAAAAATGTTTTAATTAATTAATTAATTAATTAATGCTTGCCCTCCAACTATCACCTGGATTTTTCTTGGACCCAGAGCAACAGGCAGCAACAGCTGCTTTTCTGCTCAGAGTCAAAGAAGAACCTGGGCACCGCCAGAGGGAAAGCTGCTAAACAGATGGGCAGTGATAGAACGGAGAGAGGGGGCAACTGGAAGGGAGCTCTTTTCAGGAGGCTGTCGCCCGGCATCTTCTTGCCATCTTGCATGTGTTCTGTGTGGGCACAGATTAAAACTACTGCGCAAAAACTATCAGCCATAGCCACTAAATGCCCAGTTTTAAACAGTGAGATTTCACGGGACAGTGGAATTGTTTTTTCCTCTCTTTTTTAGATTTGGAAAGGTACACAAATTCCTTTCCTTCTCTACTCAAAGGTTCATTCCTTTGTTTAACTGCCCGCTGTATTTTTGTAAATCTGCTGTTGTGATGTGGCTGAGACAGGGTTACCCGCTTGAGCCCGAAGACCATGCTCCTCCAACATGCCCTTCCACTCCGCTGTTTCATCCTTGCACGTTCACTGATGTTAGTGGTGTGCTTTGCCGGCATCTTGCCCCACATGACTCTTACTGCAGGCTGCCCGGCCTTCGTTCTCAGCTGTTTCTCGTTACCCACTTGTTACAGGTGCTTGACAATGCAATCGAGACAGAGAAGATGATAGAGAAATACGAGTCGTTGGCTTCTGACCTTCTTGAGTGGATTGAGCAAACCATCATCATCTTGAACAACCGCAAATTTGCCAACTCGTTAATTGGTGTGCAGCAACAGCTACAGGCCTTCAACACCTACCGCACAGTGGAGAAACCACCCAAGTAGGATTTACCCGCCATCTTCTTTGTTGGCAGAGATCCCAGCTTATGAAGGGAGCTGGGAAACCTCTAGGCAGTTTATCTCTCCCAGTCATGGGCAGTTAAGAATCTCGTTGGCAGATCTTTCTTGACGTTTGCCGCACAGCTTGGAGCTTGCTGCATGCCATGTGTTTGTCTGTTTGTCTTCCTGAATTCTGTGGTCTCTCACCACTAAATTGGTGTCACCACAAACAACACCACAGGGTTGTAGTGCCTGGAGCATTATGCAGCTTGGTGGTGGTTGCCTCTGTTGTTGATGTGTGAGCAGGCCATAAATGTGCACGTGAGAAAACGAGTCTCGGTGGTAGGAAGTAGCAAGGAAGTATCAACTGCAGCCCATACAAATGGTTCTTAGTTCACGGTCCAAAATAGCCCGTGCAGTATCTTCATTTGGACAAAGACAACTTGTGTTCATACGCAGCAACTACAAATCCTGACTATTATTACCATTAGGTTGTATGTTTTGATTTGCACAGAAAGGTTCCTTTCGCCTGAAGGAACGCATTGTGCGTCTCTTCCTGCTCTGTGCACCCTGCCGGTCCAAATCACATGTTATAATCTGGACTGTTTTGAAGTCTGTTTCTTTGAGCCCAGCCCAGCAACCTTTCTTTCATACACAAAGGCTACTCTCAGATTTCATTTGCTTAGATTTTTATCCTTCTCTGTTTCCAGGAGCATGGCTAATCACATGCCAGTTCCCCAGGTGCTGTAGTTCCTGTAGTGGATGTGCATCTCGTTGAGTATCACAAAATGATTCTTCCAGCAGCCAAAGATGAACCTTGTGATGCTTGAAGGATTTGTAATGTTAGTAAGAGAAGGAGGACCAGTAGAGCATCCTCCCACATCCTAGTGTCTTGTAGATGCATTGGACCACTCCTCCCATAATTTCCAGCCCATGGCAATTCCGTCTGGGAATTAGGGTGTTGCAGCCCCACACATTCTCAAGACGCCATGTTCTCAAGAAGACATGGGAGACATTTTCTCTCATACCTGAATACTTCTTACAGAACATCAAACCACGTGTGATTTGCTGCTCCTTGATTCATTCCACTCTTCCCCCTAATACAGCTGTAAGATCTTATTGTACCAAGCCTGTGTTTTTATGAAATGCTTTTCAGTGATGGCCATGGACGTCATTTGATAACAATAGTGTCTATTTATGGCAGGTGGCCCCATCCATTGGTTCCAGTGCCAGAATAGCTGTCCCAGTGTTTTAAGAGTAGCTGCCCCCTTCTCTGCACTGTCAGCAAATGCTCAGTGCATGGATATGAACTGTGCTTATGCAGGATTTCCTGCCATTGACGGGGAGGAAGTAGCCCTTTCTTGCAGAAGAACACCACAAACACATCAAAGGGCTTTGCAGCTTTGTAGCCAAGCGGAGATTCTGCAGAGCCGTTTTCAAACGGTGTCATACAGAGCAGTAACTGGAAGCTTTTAAGAACCAGTCTTGATGTGCTGCTTTGAAATTCACAGGGCATGTAGCAATGAGAAACATAGTATTTGCCTCTTGCAAGGCCTCAGAATCCCTGATCCTGCCTACCTTGGGCTGGGGTGGGGTAGAAGCGGTTGCCATGGACTGCAGCAATCATGTGATAAAGCTCATGCCAGATTTGCCAGTCAGCAAACAAAGAGAAAGCAGACAGGGAAAGAAAAGATAAAAAGAAACCTGCTTGTTTCTGGGAGCTAAATGCAAACAGTTAGCTGACCCTGTCCAGACTGTGGCATTAGAACCAGACATTTCTAGCTGAGCATGTGTGGTTTGTACACGGCAGTCAAAAAAAGACACAGGTGGTGATGCTTTCTATTAAAAAAAACCCCCTGTCAAATGTGTAAACCATGCAGATTTCTGAACAACATCCTGTTGCTTCTTTGGAGAGAGAATGCATGCTTCTGAATTTTCCCTGCACCCCCATCTCTTTTCAGATTCACAGAAAAAGGAAATTTAGAAGTGCTGCTCTTCACCATCCAAAGCAAAATGAGGGCCAACAATCAGAAAGTGTACATGCCCAGGGAAGGGAAACTCATCTCAGATATCAACAAGGTAAATACACACACCGCTGTGTTGTTTGTCCCAGTCTGAGCAGCTCAGCTGTGCACCATCATCAAGTTCAGGCTGTTGGAGGTTTGGAAAGTTATAACAAGATCAGTGACGGAATTCACAGGAAGCAGTGAAGTGAAGAACCCAGTCCAAAGGAGCCTTCTCCAACCTGTTGCTGCCCAGATGTCTTGGGACTACAGTTCTCAGTGTGCCCCAGCCATTCATGGCTAGGTGGGACGTGTTGGGAGTTGAGGACCTGCACTTTTGGAGGGCTCAGGTTGGGGAAGGATGTGGTACAGCATTCCCAAGCCAAGATAAGCTCAGTGCCCAAAGGGTCTCACTGTGCCAAAATGGGAGCAGATGCACTGGTGGGCAATGGAAGGCCAAGATAGAGGAACCCCCGGCCCATGGGCCAAATGGAGACCATCCCCAAGCCTCTCAGTCTAAACCTCTGGGCTGTCCTCAGGCCACATCCTCACTGGCTCTGCTCCAGCTTATGGATATTATGTTCTCCATCCTGCTTTGATCAAGCAGCTGTGCTGGTCATGGAAGGACCTTTGCATACGTTTGGGAAAGAGAATGCCTGGTCACAACCCCATCCCCCCCCCCAACTCATTGCAGTCTGAGTAGAGGGGTGAGTTACACCCGTTCCTTTACCACATTCTGGCTGTGCGCACTGGTGGAATGCGGAACTGCCCACAGGTTTGGACCAGGTTTAATATAGACAGCAACAAGAAATTGATTACCACGCCCTAGGAAAGGATATTGCTGGGCTGGGCCAGTCAAGAGGTGAAGAGGTGAGAACAAATCAACACTGAGCTGCAGTGCAGGTTTACAGAACTGCCTCTTGTTGAAGTGAGTGAAAGTCAGCCCCGTTGCCATTGCTGCCTGGCTTGCCTCCAAGGCCCAGGTCCTGCCCGGTCTTGAGATTTTAGGGAGAGGGGCTTTTCTTGGTCCTCCTGCTGTCAGAATCACGTTTGATTTTTGAACAGGTGGTTTTCAGGCAGAATTTGCAAATGGACAACGATGCAGATACCTGGGCTACCTTTGCTGAAATCCATGCATGATTCTCCTAATAATAGTCATTTATTTTGCTTTACATAAAGTATATTTGAGTACCCACATTTCATGTATGAAACAAATAGGTTTTTATGTGTGCTGGTTTGCAGCTGAACGGGTGTTTAACTGGTTGGGTGCGCTTTCTTTTGATGTTGTATTTAATTTTTTTGTGTTGGGCTCTGCTTTAATTAAGATTTTGTTTTAATTTAGTTTTTATTGTTAGCCACTTTGAGTGGCATTCTTTGGAAGAACGGCAGGATATAAATTAAATAGAAAAAATAAGGAAATTAGGAGGTGGAATTAATGCCCTCAGTGTCTATTCAGCAGGTAACTATTCCTGCACTGTTGCAAAGCCTGCAACTCAGATGAAGAGCTGGCCTGGAACCAGCTTATCTTGGAAGGTCTGGCAAGTGTAGATTCTAGTGTATGTTTACAATTAGATCCCCTGAAGTAACATTTCAGATCTGTTTGTAACCTTGATCTCCAGTGGAAACAGAACTGCTCAAGCGGTAGAGCTGGGCTTGTTGATTCTCCAAATCGAGCGTGTGCATGTACACAGATGAGTGCATGTGTTGTCTGGTCATATGTGTGTGTGTAAATTGTGTTTGCAACATACACGATGGTGTATTTTAAGGGTTTGAATCTCTGTAGACCATCTAGTGAATTTAGACTAATGGAGCGATATTGATGTGAAAGGAACCAACACAAATTGTCCTTCTGGGTGAGTTCTCTTGGAATGAATGGGCAGAATCCAGTGGAGCACTTACATTCCCACGGATTCTCCTACCTCTCATCAGTTCTGTGGGCCCCAGTTGCACTTGCACAATGGTGATTTCACACTTCCAGGGCAGCCTAAAATAAACAGAAATGTTTGTCTGAGGGAGAAGGCAGGCTCTGGCTTTCACACAAGGGAACTGCCAGACTGCCTCCTTCCAGAAACAAGTATTTGACTTCATTTGGGGCTTTCCTTTGGAAGCACAAAATTTCCCATGGTGGCAAGTAGGGGGTCCTGTTTGCATGACAGATAAGGTGGGGGGAGCTGTTTGTGGAAAGGAAATGTACCCCCAAATTACCCATGTGGGATGGATGAAGGGGTGGAGGGAAGTTTGTGAAAAATCTCACTGAAGTGCAACCAGGATACTGCGAGAAGCCAACAAGCTACTTAACTAGTTCAACCAGATGAAAAGCGACTGGTTCGACAAGCTCTCTTGGCAATAAAAAGAGTGTTTTAAAACACGATAAGCCTTCCTAATTTGCTTTTCATCATGGCTGGAATTCCCAGGGCAGCTGTTGCTTGTATCCCCCAATTAGAGCAATAAACTCCAGGACTCTCGTATCTCTGGGCTAAACTCTTTTGCCTATAAGATCTTACAGATCCTTAGACTGCAGGCAATACAACATCTGCCAAGATTTAGAAGACGCCCAAACAGCCTCTGGCTAATCACAGATTGGTTTGTTCCTTGTGAGGAAGGCCTGATAAATGGACTGAGGCACACAAGGTGTTATTTATGACCTCACCTCAAAGTAATCAATGGCCCAAATGTTTCAGAAGAGGTTTAGCTTGGTAAGGGTGCTGGCAGTCTGTGACCATGTGGGTTTCTCTCCTCCCTGCTGGTAGAGATGTGATTCTGTGATGATTCTGTTTGCGTTTTATTGCCTTAACTGTACTTGTGGGTGGGAGTCACGCATTCTGCTTTGAGAATTTCTGTGCATTTCAGCACTAAGTCCAGAAAAACAACATCTTAATTAGCGATGTTAGGAAGTCCTGTCCTCCTCCTCCCACCAGTTCGCATATAACTTAGCAGTGTTGCAAATCTTTCCTTGTAGAATTAAAATCTTGAAACGTGTCATTTTAAAAATAAAGATGGTCCTTTGCAGATTGTTTTCCCGTTCAGCATTTGTTTGTGGCCATGCAAATTCCCAGGGTTCTCAACTATGAGAAGAACATGATCTAGACAACAGAATCAAGTTTTATGCCTATTTTCCAGCAGAGTAAACCACCGAAGGCAAAATTAATCTCTGAGATTCCTTGACCATCTGGAGTTGTATTCCCTAATTAACATTCCCAAATGTTTTTTTATTACTATTGTGCAATCTTGATTCAGTGCAATAGTATACTTTGTAATTTCTCAACAGTTATTTTCTTTATGTAAATGCAAATGTGTTTAATGTAATTTTTCGCTGCTTATGCAGGCCTGGGAGAGACTGGAAAAAGCTGAGCATGAAAGAGAACTGGCACTGCGTAATGAGCTCATCCGACAGGAGAAACTGGAACAACTTGCCCGTAGATTCGACCGCAAGGCAGCTATGAGGGAGACGTGGCTGAGCGAAAACCAGCGTCTGGTTTCACAGGTGAGGCTTTTAAAAATTATAATTAGGGTGACTATGGCTGCAGTCCTCTGTACCCATTTTCCTGGGAGTAAGGCCCATTCAACCCAGTGGGACTTAGTTCTGAGTAGACGTGCATAGGAGCATCATGCAGACCACTCTGCTCTGAGCTTCCAAGACCGGGTGGGCAACTTGTGGCCCTCCAGGTGTTTCAGCCTAGACTCGCATCAGTCCTGACTCCAGCAGCCAGTGGTGAGGCATTGTGGCAGTCGTAGGCCAAAGCATCTGGAGGGCCACAGGTTGCCGTCCCTTCTCTAGGGGATTGGTCCTGCCTTGCAGCAAGGCGCTGGCTGAGGTAGCATTTTGGCCCCTTGCATCCTCATGGCCTTGTGCTGTAGGTGGCTTCAAGCCAACAGGCAAGCAGTGACTAGATGGAGATGGTACTTCTAGAGGACAACACCAGCAGAGGCCTCGAATAATGTGAATCAGATGGCAACTGTCTAGAACAGGGGTCTCAAACGCGCGGCCCGCGGGCCAATTGCCGGGACGGGGGGGCACGGGCGAGGGGCCCTGCGGCCTTCAAAGCACCGGCGGCACCCGGGCCGGCCTCCGGATGAGCGGCCCACCCCCACTGCGGTGGTGGAATCCTTGATGCGGCCCAGCCTCACCCAGACTCTACTTCCAGAGGCCCCCAGGTAAGTTGAGTTTGAGACCCCTGGTCTAGAATACTTTCCATGCAGACAGAACTGCTTCCATGCTGATCTCTTATTATACTCAAGCCTCAAGGGTTCAAATTCTTACCAAATAGGGCTTCTACACTTTGGAGGCCTTTTACCCACAGCAGGTGGTGGAGAACACGTCCTAGAATAGCCGAATTTCCTCTTGCTTGGCAAGGGAAACCCCTAATATTTGCATTCCGCAATCTCTGCCCTTTGGTGCCACACCATCCAGTCTCATTCTGTCCTTGCCATGTCTTCATAAGAGGAACCGTAACTGGAAATAGGGTTCTTCAGGAAGTTGTTCAGAACACTTAGACTGATAAACAAGGTATTCTCTCTCTCTGCATTGCATTAGGATGTCAAATTCCCTTCCAATGCAATTGTATGCAAACCATTAAACCTACAGAAATGCTCTGTTGGCAGATCTGGCATGTTGATGATACGGATGAAACGGCATATTGGTTTTGTGTGCATTTTCCTGGGAGCAAAAAGAGCAAAGACTCTTGTGGCACCTTAAATGCTTCTCAGGATTGCTGTGGCTTAAGCGTTCATGGATTAGCAAATGTTGTTCTTTGCTGCTGTACAGACATGAACACAAATATAAATTACAAATATTAAATCTTGAGCAAAGTGGCCAAGAAATAGGAGGGTTCTACAGTAGGTGTGACATAGTTTTGGATTCTGGGTAAGCCCCCCAAAAATAGAACCAGATTTGCTAACATGTTCTGGCTCAGCAGTTTCATCAAGCTGCTTCCCTTTTCCTGTTTTTGCTGCAACTTTGTGCGATAGTATAAGACGGTAGTCGCTGCACCTTAGCAGGACCTGTTGCACATTTCTCTAGGTTTCAGATTAGAGGCAGGGCAAGCCGCTCATTTCAACCACCAGGCATTATACAGCAGGTCCAGGGGATCTTCCCTCCCTTAGGTGGCGATGCTTCGAGGCCCAAGCCCAAAGCATGAGCCCCTACCTCAAGCAGTAGATGTTCTCAGCATCACAGAACCACTAAGCAGGACTCCCTTGTCTTTGCAGGACAACTTTGGGTTTGACCTCCCAGCTGTGGAGGCTGCCACAAAGAAGCACGAAGCCATCGAGACAGACATTGCAGCCTACGAAGAAAGAGTCCAGGCAGTAGTCGCTGTTGCCAGGGAGCTGGAGGCAGAGAACTACCATGACATAAAGCGCATCACCGCAAGAAAAGACAATGTGATCCGCCTTTGGGAGTACCTTCTGGAGCTGCTCAGGGCACGCAGACAACGACTGGAGATGAACCTTGGTCTGCAAAAGATTTTCCAGGAAATGCTGTACATAATGGACTGGATGGATGAGATGAAGGTAAGGTGCAGAAACAGAAAATGATGGTGTTTAGGAGAGGCCTAGAAAAAGGCTTCGACTTTCTGCGGTGTAATCGTTAGGCCATGCATCAGGTTTTGTACAGTCTGAAAAATAGACATACAGCACATAAATGTGCACAAGCAAGCCTTCATCCAGGGTATCCAGATTTTATGCGCACACTAAGGTGTAGGTATATGCAATTTACATTGCTCCAATCACATTGTTTATTAATATTTTCATTTGCGCATGCACCAGGATGATAGAGAAGTAGAAGAAAAGGGGGGCAACTGAAGTCAATAGTAGTACTTACTTGCTGCACTGACCAGCAACTGTTTTTTAAGGAATAACTACTTCAGGAGTTACTAGGCTGGAAACTTTGGGATCCCCGTAGAGGATGTCTACCAAACTGACCTTTCAGCCACCATTCCTACTAAACACTTCTGGATTGATAGCTAAGAGATCAATTAGTACCCTTCAGAAGACGGATTTGACCTAGGGACCTCAAGTTACCTTGGACTGGGTACACCGTCTTGGATATTTTTATGGGTACCACTGCCATGAGGGCACACTTAGTAAATGGTGGTGACACGGTTTATCATGCTGGGAGCTGATTCTCACTCCCTTTTCTCTGCTGGAGCACACAATGCATGCGAGGAATCGAGAGAAGTCGCACGCATGCAGAATGAGGCAGGTGACACAGGCTGGCTTTTACGTTTGTCAGACTTCCATATTTGACAGGACACGTGGGCTTTCTGCTCAAGCACAAAACAGTCGATGGGCTTTTGTGATACCCCTGATGAGAAACCAGCCATAAAAGCAACATTTCCTCCGAAACTTAAAAAGAAAGACTAAAAGTTGTGTTTGCTGCCTTGACTGGCTAGTTTTATGTGACCAGGTGTTGCTGCTGTCCCAAGACTACGGCAAACATCTCCTGGGCGTAGAAGACCTCTTGCAGAAGCATGCGCTTGTGGAGGCCGATATTGCCATTCAGGCTGAGAGGGTGAGAGGGGTCAATGCATCAGCTCAGAAATTCGCAACAGATGGAGAAGGTGAGACTGCTTGGCCTGCCCTTACTTATCTGCATGACCTTGGGAGGGATACCTGTTGTGACACAGTGTTGGTTAAGGGTTTGTAGACTTGTGAGACATCCAGGTGGGTAGAGGCAACACGCAGTCTGGGAGTAGGCTCATGCCCAGTATTCTGAGCCTTCCTGTTCCATCTTGTAGCTACGCAGTGGGTACAGTGCTTAAAGGGGGCCTTCGTGCATAGAGTCCAGTGCACTCCCTCCAATGTGCAGTCTCATGCTAACACACTGGGCTGTGCAGCACTGAGCATGGACCAATGTTCTTGTCCTATCGGCAGAACTAGAGTAGGTCCAAATGGACTTGCTCTCTGCTGAGATGTCCACCACTCACCCTCCAGAGGACAACCTTGAACAATTCCCATTTGCCTCCATCTCTTCTCCATTTCTCCTTCTCCTCACCAGTATCCAAATTATAATTTAGGCCAGGCAAATTGGGGCGTGTTCTGTGATGTGCTTCTTGTTGTGGGGCAGCATATGGAAGCTTGCATATGGCTCCTTGTGTTGGCGGTACATGGTCCTTTCAGGTTTCCCTACAGTCCGTAGCTGTTCTCTCATGTTACAAAGGAAACTTGAAGCCATGTATGAAGAGCAGAATTCTGTGCTTTGGGTTCTCCACCTGATTTCTCATGGGCCATAGTTGGGTGGGCTGGAACCTCTTTGTGCACTTTTGGCAGTACTGGCAAAGGAAAAATGACTGGGGTCTCGGAACGTGTTCTTGAAGAGGACCAGCCTGACATGCCCCAGGAGGAACAATAAGTTTGCCCTAGTCAAGTTGAAAAATCCGTGAGTGAATACTAAGGAACCAGCATTCTCTGAACTTCAGCCAGTGGGTACAGTTTCGTGTGTGGCGCAATCCGTTTTCCATGGTCCTCTTTCTTTCCTTCAATAGGCTACAAGCCCTGTGATCCACAAGTCATCAGAGATCGTGTGGCCCACATGGAGTTCTGCTACCAGGAGCTTTGTCAGTTATCGGCCGAACGCCGAGCTCGCTTGGAAGAGTCCCGGCGCCTTTGGAAGTTCTTCTGGGAAATGGCTGAAGAGGAGGGATGGATAAGGGAAAAAGAACAGATCTTGTCATCAGATGATTATGGGAAGGACTTAACCAGCATTGTCCGGCTTCTTAGCAAGCATAAGGCATTTGAAGATGAAATGAGTGGCCGGAGCAGCCACTTCCAGCAGGCAATCAAGGAAGGGGAAGATATGATAGCTGAGGATCACTTTGGATCTGAGAAGATCAGGGAGAGGATTATAGACATCCAGAATCAGTGGGCCAACCTAGAGCAGCTCTCTGCTATCCGGAAGAAGAGGCTGGAAGAAGCTTCCCTCCTTCACCAATTCCAAGCTGATGCCGACGACATCGATGCGTGGATGTTGGACATCCTCAAAATTGTCTCTAGTAGTGATGTCGGCCATGATGAGTATTCCACTCAGTCCTTGGTTAAGAAACACAAAGATGTGGCAGAAGAGATTGCAAGCTACAGGTCAATCATGGATGCTCTGCACGAGCAAGCCAGAGCTTTGCCACAGGAACATGCAGAGTCTGTTGATGTGCAGAGCAGGTTGTCCGGAATGGAAGAAAGGTACAAAGAGGTTGCGGAGCTCACACGGCTTCGCAAGCAGGCCCTGCAGGACACTTTGGCTCTGTACAAGATGTTCAGTGAAGCGGATGCCTGTGAGCTGTGGATTGATGAGAAGGAACAATGGCTGAACAACATGGAGATCCCTGAGAAACTGGAAGACCTGGAAGTGATCCAGCACAGGTGAGATCGGGTGGTGAGATGGATTTCATTGTCTCGTTCATCTCAGTGCAGGATGTCATGAAATGGTCTCTCTGTTAATGCCCTCGTGGTCTTCTTACTTCTTCCCTCTCTAGATTTGAAAGTTTAGAACCAGAAATGAACAATCAGGCATCCCGTGTTGCAGTGGTTAACCAGATTTCCAGGCAGCTGATACACAATGGTCATCCAAATGAAAAGGAGATCAAGGCACAGCAAGATAAGCTCAATACGAGGTGGGAAATGCTGGGTCTTTCAGTTTCCTTTGACTCATTTAGTTATTTATTTTACATGCTTCCCCATACTGCAAAGGGTTCTCTGGGCAGCTTGCATTAAAACAGCAGCAAGAACAATAAAGAAAAGCACAAAACCCATTAAAACAATACAAAATCTGGCAACTGGTGAGAAAATCACAACAAAATACACAGCAGTAGAAATTAAAAGAATACTAAAAACTAATTAGCTGCTAAAACACCTGGTTAAAACATTTTACCAGGCGTTGGAAGGAGAGCATCAGCAGTGCCAGGGGTACCTTGTTGGTGAGGTGTCCATAAATGAGGTACAGTCACAGAGAAGGCCCTCCCTCTGCCTCCCTCCCACCCTTACTTCATTGGGGGATGATTCTCAGAGAAGGACCTCCATCAAAGACTCTAATGATTAGGGATATATGGAGAGAGGCATCCCCTCAGTTATCCTGTTCCCAGGCCACTTAGGACTATGTATATTAATGTCAACACTCTGAATTGGGCCTGGACTACAACAGGTAGCCAGTGTAGCCAACAGAGGACTGGTTTGATATATTCTTGAAGCCACACCACCCTGATCTGAATTAATTGAAGATTATGCCCTCCCGCCCCTTGAGATCAGCAACAGATGCCCTTCTCTGGGAACCCTCTGTGAATGATATTAGGAGGGTGAGTACCCAGAGGAGGGCTTTCTCTGTGGTGGCGCCCCATCTATGAAATGCGCTCCCCAGAGAGGTCCGCCTGGCCCCGTCGTTATTTGTTTTTTGGCGCCAGGCTAAGACCTTTTTATTTAAAACTTATTTTAATTGCTAGATTATTGAATTAATTAGGATTTTAAAATTTTTAGCCGAGAATGCACCGGGAGTTTTTAAATGTTTTTTTCTCTTTTAAATTGTTATATTATTATTATTATTTATGTATGTTTTTATGTATTCTTTGTGAGCCGCCCCAAGGCTTTGTTGCGATGGGGGCAGCATAGAAATGTTTTAAATAAATAAATAAATAAAATAAGATTAATTATTCTTCAATTAATTAATTGAAAATTATACACAGTAGTATCTCCTGTGTAAGCACCTCTGGAACCATATCCCATAGATATGAAACCATTTGTAGTTTGTATTCCCCATTTTTATTTCTCATTTTGTTTGCTCAACTAGTTTCAGTGACTATTTGCTGATTTCCAGCTATCATCTTCAGTGCCACCGGGTCTTAAAGTTGAGGATCAAAGTGCAAAAAACAGAAGAAATAGGATGTGCCTATGTTCCTTATTCAAATATTTTAGTGTTATGTTTTCATTTTATTGCTGGGTGTTTTCACGTTATTGCCACTCGGGTTTTTTTTTTTAATGAAGAGTGGGGCAATAAATAAGTTGTAGCAGTTATATGCATATTAGTTGCTCTGTGCATTATTCAGTTGTTTGTTCTGGTCATAGATGAATAAGAAAAGTACTAATTTTATTTAGCAGTCGTTTATCATAAGAAGTTGACTTACAGTTCACCCTCAGCAACTGTGATTTGTCTTTTGTGACCTGTACATGAAAATAGAAGCAGTAAAATTATATCCAGTATTTAAAATTATTTATTAGAAGGAGATGAAGGAAAGAATGCACTGAACAGAATAAAAGTTCAGAAGATTTAAAAGTTTGGAAGGAGAAACAATAATACATCGTGTTCTCTGATTTTCTTCTCTGGTTCTCTCTCTTAGGTGGAGCCAGTTCCGAGAACTGGTGGACATCAAGAAAGATGCTCTTATCTCAGCCCTTAGTATCCAGAACTACCACCTTGAGTGCAATGAAACCAAATCTTGGATCAGGGAGAAGACTAAAGTTATTGAATCCACCCAGGAGCTTGGCAATGACCTGGCTGGCGTTATTGCTCTTCAGAGGAAGCTGACTGGAATGGAACGTGATTTGGTTGCTATTGAGGCCAAGCTAAGTGACCTCCAGAAAGAGGCTGAGAAGTTAGAATCAGAACATCCTGACCAAGCTCGGGCCATCCTGTCCAGGCTTGCTGAAATCAACGATGTTTGGGAAGAAATGAAGACGACCTTGAAGAACCGTGAAGAGTCACTTGGAGAGGCAAGCAAACTGCAGCAGTTCTTGCGTGACTTGGATGACTTCCAGTCCTGGCTCTCTCGGACCCAGACAGCCATTGCCTCAGAAGACATGCCAAATACACTGACGGAAGCTGAGAAGCTGCTCACGCAGCATGAGAACATCAAGAACGAAATCAACAATTATGAGGAAGACTATCAGAAGATGAGGGATATGGGCGAGATGGTGACACAAGGGCAGACAGATGCTCAGTACATGTTCTTACACCAGCGGCTGCAGGCTTTGGACACAGGATGGAATGAGCTTCACAAGATGTGGGAAAATCGGCAGAATCTTCTCTCGCAGTCCCATGCCTATCAGCTCTTCCTCAGGGACACAAAGCAAGCAGAAGCATTTCTTAACAACCAGGTGAGCAGGTGTCAATTTCAGGACCTAAATTTAAGGACTTACACTCTTTTAGCATGTGAAGCATCAAGACAGATGTAACACTCACTGCCTTTTCACATGACCAGTTTCGGAGCCTGTTTTGCATGAGTGGTGATACTTCCTTTCCCATCATTCTGGATTGCCTGAAAGAGACTCTGCATTGGTGTGCCACAAGCATCTTTCTGGTAGCAGAGCACTCATTTTTATATTTGCAACAACCTAGGTTGGGATCTAGGCCCATGGAGTAGTGCTTAACCACCACAGGAAATGATTGTATAAATTAATCCTCAATCGTTGCTTCACAGAACCCTTTTCTTACAAGATGGTTCCATGGTGGTGAGATACCAGCTGCTTTCAGGCATCACATTCCCGGTTCTCCAAGCCTCAGATACTCTCTCACCACTTTCCTTCCTTCATCACCATTCTTACATGCCTTAAAAGAAGACATACTAGTTTCCTCAAACCGTAGCTTGTTGTGAAATCTAAACTGTCAGACTATAGTTTGAGTGAAACTTCCAGACAAAGATTTCAGAACATAGTTTGATCATGGTTTTCAAACCTGGCTTGGAGGAATTGTTTAAATCACAATCAGATGGTTCAGACTACATGACACATTTCACTGTGAGGAAATCAGAATGTCTTCCACTAAGGTGTGAGAGCGAAGAGAGCAGGCAAAGGAAGGAGGGGCATTCGAGCTTTTGCCTTGCAGGCAACCCTCCAAACCATACGACACTGACAATGATAGTTGATGTGCAGTGTGGACTTGTGAATATTCCACATATTTCATGAATATGTGAAGATTACAACTAACTTGCTTCTGGCTGGACACTGGTTTAAAAAGCTTTTTGGAAGGCAGTTTGCCTTGACGTATGTTAGAAGCTTGGCTATGAGTTCAGAGAGTCAACTTACATTGGCTTTACACATGGTGATGTAGTGGCTAGCGGTCTCGTTAGTTAGTCTTGGACCGAGACTCAGGAGATCTGGGTTCTAGTCTCCACTCAGCCACTACAACTCACTGAGTGACTTTGGGCCAGTCACTAACTCTCAGCTTAACCTACTTCAAAGAGTTGTCAGTGTAAGAATAAAATGAAGAGGAAGAAAATCTTCTAAAGCACTTCAGATTCCTTGCAATAGGGAAAAGGCCAGGTTATAAATGTAATGTAATGACAATGAGTTGTTGTTGTTAGTTGTGAAGTCGCCTCTGACCCATCGTGACCCCATGGACAGCATTCCTCCAAGCATTACAATAATAGTTGCAACCTGAAAATGGTTATGCCCATCACTCTGTTCTAATGACTGAAAATGTGGTTTCAACAAGGGCAGCACTAACAGCTTAATGCCGTGGCATAAATTGCAAGCGAGTTTTATGTGTCTTTTCTGAAATTATAGGAATATGTTTTGGCGCATACCGAAATGCCCACCACTTTGGAAGGCGCAGAAGCAGCTATCAGAAAACAGGAGGATTTCATGACCACCATGGATGCCAACGAGGAGAAGATCAACGCTGTTGTGGAGACCGGGCGGAGGCTAGTGAGTGATGGCAACATCAACTCAGACAGAATCCAAGAGAAAGTGGACTCCATCGATGACAGGTGCGCTTTGCCAGGGGTATTTGGGGAGTGTTGGGCCTTGGCCCACCTTCTCCTGTTGGGTGCTTGCTTGCGTGCTTGCTTGCCCATTCTTCATCCCATCCTGTATCCAGAAGAGATACTAATGCAATTTGCAGTACAGCACAATTAAAACACAATTGGAACAGTTCAAACTAAAATCAGTATTGGCAATTAGCAGCAGTTGTTTACTTATTTATTACATTTACACACTGCCTTTTTCCTGCAAGGAACCCAAAACAGCTTTTTTAGCATCATAACAACCCTGTGCAGTAGGTTAGACAGAAAAACAGGCACCGACTCAGAGTCACGGAGTGAGAATTGTGATCAGGGTAGACTAGAATCCTTATCTCCTGAGTCCCACTCCTATGCGGAAACATCTGTGCCACACTGTTAACCAATTAGCAACCAAAACACTAACCCAGTTTGTGCATTTACAGTCCCCCTTTTATTATTTATTTATTTATTTATATTGCGATTTATATCCTGCCTTTTTCCTACAAAGGGCTCAAGGGAGCTTGCATCATTCTCCTCCTCCATCTTATCCCCACAACAACAACCCTGTGAGGTAGGTTGGGCCGAGAGCCTGTGACTGGCCCAAAGTCACCCAGTGGGCTCCATGGCCGAGCGGGGACTTGACCCCAGATCGTCCGAGTCCCAGTCCCGTGCTCTTAACCAGTCATGATATGAACCATGGGGAAGGGAATGGGGTCGTGTGCCAGCACCACATCTTTGGTCGCCATCCCTCGAGTGCCCCCCATCGGATGAGTGTCTGCAATGGAGTGGAAGCAGTTTTTGCTTCAAATAAATCCTGAATGTGTGGCAAATTGAGGGTTGTCTTGCAGCTGCTCGTACGGAAAAGTGGTTTCCAGACCTTACATTTATAGCCTGGCTCATTTTCAGAGCATAGTGAAAGCAGTAAAAAAAAAAAAGACCCTACCATTTCAAACCATACTGAAAATGGATCTGGTAGCCACTTCATGAGGAGGTTGCTATAAACTGCTGTGAAAGCCTCACATTCCCAGGATCGCTTTCAGGTGATGCCACCAAGAGCTGGCTCAGGTTTGAAGGTGTACCCTGTTTCTCCTAAGAGTGTCCTCTGTTTGGTTGGCCATGGTGGGCTTACCTGGCCGAAACACTCCAGGCAGCACTATATGTCTGGGAGCTACCATTCCTGCTTCCCACAATACTCTGTAACAGCATTACTTCAGGGGCATTGTGGGTAATCAAAGCAGCACACCATGCTGCTTGAAATGCCCAACCAGGAAAAAGAATCGTGTGTTTAGATATTAGATATGCACTCTGCCTTTTCACCAAGAAAATGGAGCTAAAGGGGGTTAACCATCTTAAGTTACTAGAAAATTCCAATAAAACTGTAATATAAAGATAAACCCAATACATTAAAAACACAGAAAAATGCTTCAGTAGCAAAGTAAAAGCAGCACCTAACCCAGCAAGCCAGCTTGTGTGCCAAAGTCCTGCTCAAATGGAAACGTCTTGGTAGCTGGTGGAAGGACCCTAGAGCCAGAGCTAACCTGAGGACTGGTCCCTGCTGCACTGTAGGGTCTGGCAAGGATGCCCAGGGCTGATGCCAACTCTTTCCCAGCACCTCCTTGAGAGGGCTTCTTGGGTAATTCCAGATACCTTTGGTGGCAACCTGCAGCCAGCTTTCAGACTGCATTAAGAGCAGCTGACCGAACCAGCTCCTGTTCAGTTTCAACACTGCTGATTGCGAGGCAAGGTGACGACAGTCGCCATCAACACCCCATCATAAGCCTACCCAGTGCATCTCCTGCCGTGCCAAGTCTGTCTAGACCTCACTAGTTAGCCACAAGTGGTGTGTGCACCCATCCAGCCACGTTGTCGAGCCTCATGTTCTCAGCCTAATGTGTGAGAGGGAACAGCGTTTACGTTGGCTCCTGAGACTATAACAGTGTGTAGCTTTTTCAGGTTACTGTTCAGCTGCCAGACCTTGTAGTTGAGTGGAAGGAGCATATGGTTTGCATGCAGAAAGTGCTTGGTTCAATCTCCTGGGCCTTGAACGAGACTTTCCGGGAAGGATGGGCCAGCAGTCCAGTGCGTTGGAACAACAGACTCATCTGCATTCAGTTGACTGACTAGCACCTTACGAAGTGCCATGAAAATGAAGAAAGGGGGGCTCAAAAAGGGAGAACTCAGGCAATTGTGCCTTGGCTAAAGAAGCCAGCAGCTCTTTGCTCCGCCCTTCAGGCTGGGAGTGGGGAAAAAAGAAGTTTTCAATTAACTGTAGTAACATTTTCCCAACCTGATGTCCAGCAGATGTGTGAGGTCATAACTCCCAGCATACTGGCCAGCATGAACATGGTCCATGCCTGGGATGATGGGAGTTTTAGTCCAACGGATCTGGTGGACTGGTTGCAAAAAGGCTGAGCTGAAGACCTCTTGGTCTGTTTCATTGTGTGCATGACGTGGTTTCAAAGCTCATTTATGAAGCTGAGATAGAATCATCTCAGCCTGAAACTGTGGGTTGCTGCTGGAAACAATACACAACACTTGTGAGGGTGTGTGAGTTGCTGGCATCCAGTTGTAGGCTTCAGTAACTTGTTTTAATGTTTGTCTTCATCCGAACAGGCTCTCCTCCTCAAGCATTGTTTTAGGAAACAAATGCTTATCGCTAGGAACACTTTAATAAACAAATTCCTTCCTTTTTCTGGAGTAACCACCTGCACAGTGTTCTGAAGGCTGTTACGTTTTTAGGGATTATAGAAACCACTGCAGCTTGCCTTGGTAAAAACAAGGTTATGGAGTGCTGAGACATAGCATAGACTTATTAAAGGGCCTTTAGGAAACAGGCTTTGGGTGGGAAAGCCTCAAAATAAATATGTAAGAGAATCATGAGCAAAAAGTTCTGGGAAAGCCTTGTATCTTCTGTGTGGTTCATGCTCAGGGAAAACATGTGAACTCCATTTTGCTCTGCATAATGGCAGTGAATAAGGGGGGAACTTAGTCCAGTGTCTGTTACTAAGTTGAATAACGCTCAAATGACGTGCAGGGGTAAAGTTACCATTGTCTGTAATGAGCACGATCTCAAAAAATTAATATATTTCCCAGATTCAGCCATAAAACTGGGAGGAGCTGCCATTACATGCACCTCCTTTTAGAACAGAAAGACCTGTTTGAGCAGATTCAGTTATTTAGCTATATTTTGAGCCCTGCCCCCACCCATTCATCAAGCACTCCAGGTGACAGAAGAATGAAAACAGCAAACCAGTTTGCACATTGAAAATGACCCACTCTGTTAGCCGTGAGTTACTGGCAGCAAGTGCACTGGCTTCTGCTTGCTTCATGGGAGTAAGCAATGCAGGGATGTCCTGTCCCTTGGTTGTTCGTTGCGGCATTTGAATCCTTCACTGGGAGTGGCCTGGGGAAGAGCAGCCCAGATGTGTAGTCCATGGTTTGCTCTTGGATTGCACATCTGGGCTGTTCTTCCATCATTCTCCAAACCTGCGGCACTCTGTCTGCGTAATATAAGCCCCCCATGAATGTATATCAGGGGTCTCAAACTCAACTCACCTGGGGGCCGCTGGAAGTGGAGTCTGGGTGAGGCTGGGCCGCATCAAGTATTCCACCACCGCGGTGGTGGTGGACCACTCATCCCGCGTCGCTCCCGGAGGCCGGCCCGGGCGCCACCGGCGCTTTGAAGGCCGCAGGGCCCCTCCCCGTGCCCCCCCGTCCCGGCAAGTGGCCCACGGGCTGCACGTTTGAGACCCCTGATGTACATGGACAGAATAAGGCTGCCTGGGCCGGTGAGGAACCTGCTGCTGCTCCCCAGTTCTGGTTCAGGAGATCACTTGTCAGGTTCTATCCCCCAAGTAACAGAGAAGTGGGTTTCACACTGCCATTCTCCCCAGGGAAGGAGCGTCACATGGAAAAACCAAACAAGTTTAGCATTAGCCTGGTGCCAGCAAGAAGGGCTCGGCCTCAGCTGCTCATTTCTGGATGGCACAAAAAACTTTCCCTGCCCATTACTGAAATGATCACTCTTACGAAGGAGCCAAGCGAAGCATGTTTGCACCTTTGGAACCGCTCCTTCCTCCAAGACTTGGGGAGGGGTTTTAAGAAATCTTGTGTTATTGGCCAAGCCCACTGTTTCCTGCTTGCTTCCATACCAGGCTCTCACACGAATTCCGTTCCTCAAAAGTCCCACTGGCTTCCTGTGCCCACAGGCCTCCGTGCAGCTTTGCTGTATTTTGTTCTTTTTGGGGGCGTTTCATGGCCTGTCACTCTGTCCTTTATTTCAAGGAGATTTTGTCTCTGATTAGAGGGCATTTTAGAGCCCAGAGATTGGGAGATAGGCCTGGAACTGTGACAGAGTATCCATTCAAGCTGTATGTAATAATCAGAAGTGTAGTGTTTTCAAAAGTCCCCACGCTGAAATTTCCTTCCTTGTTTTTTGTTTTAAACAGACATAAGAGAAATCGTGAAGTGGCCAGTGAGCTTCTAATGAGATTAAAAGATAACAGAGATCTTCAAAAGTTTCTTCAGGATTGCCAGGAGGTATGTTATGTCGATATCCTTGGAGGAGAAATCCGCCCCTTCTCCTTGAATGGATCTTGGTGCAGAGGGTAGGAGCTTGTGTGTACCTTGTGCCTTCACTTGTCTTTCATCTCTAATCCATTAATTTGTCCCGCAGATAAAAATGCTAATAGCCATCATTCTTTGAGCAGCTGATTAGTCTTTAATGGCAGGTCCCAGAACTAGGAGCAGTACCAGGAAAGGTGCTTCTGGAATAAGCCACATCGAATATAGTGCATGTGTTCTTTCCTCAATGGAAGAGCAAGAGAGAAAAGATTTGTCAGAATGCAGTCCACAGGATACCGGATTCTCCCATTCTTGTTTTCTTATAGTAAACTGACATGCAAATTGCATTCAGATGTTACTCTTTCTCCATTAGGCATTGCCTTAAAGAAAAAAAGATACATGAGAAGCAGCTCCAATAAGTCAGGGGACAAAAGGAAATCCCACCTTTTCCGTAGCATTTGGTGTTTCTCTCTTTGCAGAGGAGATCCATCAGGTAGGAAGGCAGGTTGGGTAAAACATGCCCGAAACCTTACACAGATTGGCTAATCTGAGCAGTGTTAGGATAAATGGGCCAGTAGTTGGACTGTACAAGGAAATCTGTAGGTTTATAGCATTCCACTTGTTTAGATCTCTCAGCCCTTGCGACAGAGGGGCAAAGCAAAGAAGGCAGGAAGGGGTGCCTGCAGATCAAGGGGTGGAGCCTGTTGGCATCGGGCAGAGATTAGTGGCCCAGAGAGAGCGCAGGGCGTGGCTGCACCTGGAACCTCTGAATGGACCTTTGAGGGGCATTTCAGGGGTAGAACTGGAGCGACTACTGGAAGCTCTCACGCCGGACTCCTCTGTTTCATTTGGGTGGGATCCAAATTGCACAAGCATAAACCAGCATGTGTGCAGTGGAACTGGCACTCGCCAAGGCAGTGGGGAGGAGTGGTACTTCATCGCCAGAACTGAGTGGCACTGCTGGAATTTGGCGGCTACGTGGGACTTTTCCTCGTTGCACTAGCAAGTGCAAGCAGTGGTTTATGGTCGTGTAACCTTGGTAGTGCCAGCGCTGGTGCACAGTTGGATGCTGCTGTTCGAGTGGCACATGAAAGGATTCCTTCAGGCTCCCTTTCGGTCCTCTTCTATGCTGACATCGTAAGTGGTTGCTGCTCCCAAAGGCAGAATCAGCCTTTTCTCCTGCCCGTCCCGTGTTTTTTCAGGATTGGAGGCTGGGATCTCATCCCTCCACAGGTCAGGATAATAGGGCACCAGAGGAAACACGGTGCTGCCCTGCGGGACAGACCAGCCGTTTCCCAGCAGAAGCCCAGGCGAGAACTATCCTCTGCCCATGAACAGCATCTTTGTTAGCTTCCACTGAAAGGCAGATTCTTCTAATTCCTGCAATTACACATTTTCCTTTTATTGCTCCCCTTAATGAGCCTTTTATGAAGTGACCTTTGGAAATGTTCCTGAATTACTGAAAAATGACCATTGTTGGCCAAAAATAGGGGTGGCTGAGCCAGCCGTCCGGCTCTGCCCCATTTTGCTCCGCTCCCCTTGCTTGGGTGAAGTTTTATCCGTGGGACGGTTTTGCTGCATGCAATGAAGCTCCAGTCTGTTTATGTATTTTCCTCTCAGGGCTCGTTGGCAGCAAAGATGCAAAATGTGCAACTTCTCAATGTATAGCATTGTTTTCGGAGCCTTCAACTGGTGGGAGCCGGATCATTTGAGAGAGGTTCCTTAGCAATACTAGGAAATTAAAAGTCACCCTTTGGGTTGTTTTCAGTCCTCGCCACCCGTTTCCTATCTGTTTGATGGTAGAATGGAGTCCTTTTCCTACTGTATGTCCCCAGATTTGGTGCAGAGAGAAGGGGGACTGCAGAGGGGAGGGGAGACCAAAGAGGCCCTATTGTAATGAAGGTCTGCTTCCATGGTACTGGATGCAACCCTTGGGTCCTCAGCACTTTGGCTGCAGTGCTGAGCCTTTTTCAGCCCGAGGGCCGTGAAGCTCTTGGGGCTGCACAAAAGCTGGGAAAGTGCCACATGATCTGTTCAAAGCAGTTTGCAATATTCATTAAAAGCGATCAAAATACAAGGCATAAGTCAAAACAAAACAACAAGATGCAAGTCCCTTTGCTGATTGCAAAATGGTGATAAAAAAGGAGACCGACAACGGCATCCTGCAAGAGCATGTTCCACAGTTCTGGAGCCACTACAGAAAAGGTCCTGTTGGAAATTAAAAATGTTTTAACAAATAAATAATAAATAAAAACCACGGGTGCCATTGTGTGGCACTTTCATCTGGGACCAGTTGCCTGATCTCAACTGTCAGGTTCCTGTGACTTGTGGCATCTTCTGAGGGATCCACGACAATGACATTAAGCCACATTCTCCCTCTCATTTTTCAGCTCTCCCTCTGGATTAATGAGAAGATGCTCACCGCGCAAGACATGTCTTACGATGAAGCAAGGAACCTGCACAGCAAGTGGCTGAAGCACCAGGCCTTCATGGCAGAGCTCGGCTCCAACAAAGAATGGCTCGACAAGATTGAAAAGGTGAGGGGAATTGGAGTGGCGCTCTGCGAAGAGCCGGGGACGTCATTCTTGTTCAGGGACGATGTGTCCAAGATGTGCTGATTGCATTCTGTGCTGTGCAATAGCTGAAGCTCTCCGTGTGGTTCGGAAAACATAAAAATACAACTTAAGCAAGCATGGCACTTCTAAAAGTTTAAAACTAATGTATCAGACAAAGTATGTATGTATGTATGTATTTATTTAGAACATTTCTATGCCACCCCATTCACAAAAAGCCTCAGAGCTGCTTACAAAATAAATAAACAATCATATAATTAACCTTAAAAATCCGGAAACATCTCGGCACAAGCATAAAAACCCAATAAATACAATCAATAATTAAAAATTAAAATAACTTTTAAATAAAAAGGTCTTGGCCTGGCACCAAAAAACAAATAACGGCGCCAGGCGGACCTCTCTGGGGAGCGCATTCCATAGGTGGGGTGCCACTGCAGAGAAGGCCCTCTTCTGGGTGCTAAAAGCTAACAGCAGTGTGAATAAGAACACATTTTAAAATAACAAAAACTGAAGGGCTAGTCGTAATGTTAAGCCTGAGAGCACTGCTTCTGCATCCCCCACTAAATGCTTTAGTTCCAAACTCTCCTATCCAACTGTGCTTTCCTTGGGACCTGGACAGCCCATATTAGAGCGATGGAGTCTGCCCTAAGCCTGCCACTTCCCATCCTTCAGGAACCCTCAGTTCTGCTGTCCAGACAGAGGTAACCCTGCCTGTTTATTTTAAAACTACTACGTTTTTCCGTCTGCCTTCAAGGGTTCCTCTTTGGCATTTCTGTTTGCAGGAGGGGATGCAGCTTATTGCTGAGAAGCCCGAAACTGAGTCTGTCGTGAAAGAGAAGTTGACCAGCCTGCACCAAATGTGGGAGCAGCTTGAAAGCACAACCCAGCTGAAGGCGCAACGGCTCTTCGATGCCAACAAGGCTGAGCTGTTCACCCAGAGCTGTGCGGACCTGGATAAGTGGCTGAATGGGCTGGAGAGCCAGATACAGTCGGACGACTACGGCAAGGACCTCACCAGCGTCAACATTCTGCTGAAGAAGCAACAGGTAAAGCAATTTGATTAGCAAACCATTCAGCTTCTGCCCGGGAGCAGGGGGGTGGTAGTTTTCAGAGACACACTTGGGTTTTCATTTTTATGGCTGTAATTCCACATAATTAAAACATTTGTAAGAAAAGGTTTGTTGTCGTAATTATATATCATTAGGCTGATAAATTAAAAACTTGGGTTATATCCAGAAGGAGGAGGAAACAAAATAAGAGATGGGTGGACTTCAGAAAGAAGTCACAGTCTTGAGCTTGGAATGGCCAAACAAGGGTGCCAAGGACCAGACATTTTGGGGGGCTTTCATTCGTAGGGTCACCAAAAGTCTGCGTTGACATGGCGGGTAATAACAACATATCTAGATTTATTCTGGTTCAACTGCATTGGCAGAAGTCGGTTTCCCTGCACCCTTCTTCCTACAACAGCGTCTTCACCCCCATGAAAGTGCTACACAGAGAGTCAGACACTCTGTGGCGCATGGAGGATCCCCAAGAGTTAGGCAGAGGGACCTTCCCTCTCATGGAACGAAACCTCGTGTAAAATACCTAACTAAGCATCTTGCATCCTCTGTCTCTCAGACGTGGTCTGAATGCAGGTGGCTTCTTCACTCGTGGTATAACACTAGAAAAAGTTGCAACTTCTTCCTTTGACTCTCACTGTAGACTCTCAAGTCCAACCCATTTAATGTCTTCTGTACACCAGGCCCACTTAAGGGAGGCAGAAAGGAAGAGCAGTTGGCTGCTTCCTATTTAACAGTCTTCCCCTTCGCTTGCAGTCTTGCCAAATATTTTCCTAAGTGTACTGAGTTCTGCTCATAACAAGCAGAAGTATGAACTGGGTGGGCTTAACATCAGTAACTTGTATATTCTTTTGCTTCTATAACATTACACTTTTGAGTTGTTGGGATAAAGGGATGTGCCTTTAAGGAAAATAGAACATGCTATTTGGGTCTTTGGAAGCTGCCTTATTGAGTTGGATTCTTCGTCCATCTAGACCAGTATTGGCAGCACTGAGTGGCAGCAGCTCTCTGGGGATGCAAACAGGGGTCTTTCCTAGTCCTGCGTGGAGATGCTCTTTGAGCCTAGGAGACCTTCTGTGTGCCAAACAGGTGCTCTGGCACAAAGGTATGGCCCCTCCTGTTTCATGCTGATGGAAGCAACAGAAAACTGGCTGTCAGTGGGGCCTTATCAATGACCAAGTTCCATTGTATTGAAGGAGGCTGCTTTGTGAACATGCTCATTTTCTTCTTTGGTATTTTAGATGCTCGAGAACCAAATGGATGTTCGTAAGAAGGAGATCGAGGAGCTGCAGAGTCAGGCCCAGGCCCTGAGCCAGGAGGGCAAGAGTACTGATGAAGTTGATGGCAAACGCCTCATTGTGGAGAAGAAGTTCACGGAGCTGCTGGAACCACTGACTGAGAGGAAGGCCCACTTGTTGGCCTCCAAGGAGATCCACCAGTTCAACCGGGATGTGGAAGATGAAATTGTGAGTTCAAGCGCTGCTCTAAGTCACACTTGCTGGGAACTCTTTGAAGGTTCCTGTTCTCTGATGCCTTTTTGCTTACTTGTAGTGCTGTTCTCACAGCATCCTTTAATTCTTGTCAGACTTTTATTTCTGGTAAATATTTATTAAGTTATTTATCTAACAGTATCTTTTTTCCCCAGCTGTGGGTTGGAGAGAGGATGCCTATTGCCACATCTACAGATCATGGTCACAACCTCCAGACGGTGCAGTTGTTAATTAAGAAGAATCAGGTACATGAATAAAATTGACCAATTTCCATAACTTGCCCCAACCCATTATTATGGTAGTCAAGATCAGAAGGCATATCTGTTACACTGAGAATCTTATTCTCAAAACGTTCAGATGGTATTGTGATTCAGTTTGGTAGAGCTGCTGCGCCCATTTTATAGAGTTTGGAACTGAGTCTATAAAAGTCTCATCCATAGGCACTCAAGGGACTTCACATTTTATTTATTTATCCATTTATTATATTTACATCCCGCCTTTTTCCAGCAAGAAATCCATGGTGGCTTACCTAGTCTCCCTCTCCTTTTTATTTTCAAAACAACCCTGTGAGGTAGATTAGGGAAAGATTCTGTGCCTGAATGAAAACTACCCAGTGAGTTTCATGGCCAAGGAGGGCCTGCAACCCACTTCTCACAAGTCCCAGTCCAGCACTTTAACCACTACACCTCACTAGCACCACATGGTGCTAAACCATGTGTGAGATTCCGTCCCATCAGTGAGTGCTACAGTAAATGCACTCAAAGGACCACCTGAGATGGAAGCATAGAATAAACTAATTCTATGCTGCAGAGATCACATAAATTAAATCATTCCTTGAATCGGTTCCACCTGCCACTTAGGGAGCTGTTCCATGTTACACACACCATTGAATTGCATTTCCTGTTCGCTCGCACTATCATTTCCTCTGCTAGCAAGCTCTACTGACGTGGCAACTCATGCAAAAATGCCTTGGGCGCTGTTTGTGTGGAAAGGTGGGACACAAATATAAATAATGAGTAAATGTGTGGTACTCACTGATAAGGCTGCAAGGCAAGACACTCTCCATGGGGCTGCCAGTCCTGTCCTGATTGTATTGTGTGGATGGGATCCAAGGCAGAGCGCCTTCTTGATTTCATCCCGTGACCCCTTGAAATCAATTTGGAATGATTTAAGAGGAGTCAGAAAATGCCTGCTCTCAAACTGCCACGGAGCATTCTGGGAGTCCGCCCTCTTGGATGACTTCCCACTGTCTTTCCCTTGAAGTGCTTTTAAGCTATTTCCAGTGCTAAGTGTTGAATTTCTCCACATTAGACACTTCAGAAGGAAATCCAGGGACACCAACCTCGTATCGATGACATTTTCGAGAGGAGCCAAAACATCGTGACAGACAGCAGCCTTAACGCCGAAGCGATCCAGCAGCGGCTCACAGACCTGCGGCAGCTTTGGAACCTCCTGTTCGAGGAGACGGAGAAGCGCCACAAGCGCTTGGAGGAGTCCCACAAAGCCCAACAGTACTACTTCGATGCTGCTGAGGCAGAAGCCTGGATGAGTGAGCAGGAGCTCTACATGATGTCAGAAGAGAAGGCCAAGGTAAGTGCGCTGCCCATGGGCCCCTGAGCTCCCTCCATTTACGTCTGCCAGCTGGAAACTAGGCTGACCGGTTTGACTTCCTCTCAGTCCCTGGGAACAGCTACTTTATCACTGTGCCAGGACATCTTTGTTAAATATCCCATAGCTGATCCTCAGCATTTTGGAGATGCTCTTGTGAGCCTCATGGCAGTGGTGGCAGTGACTGACAGAAGACAGAGAGCATATGTCTGAAAATTGTTTTCAAGCTTGAAACTCTTCCTGTGAGTAAGCAAGAATTCGGAGAGACCTTTCAACCTATTAGAATGGGAGGAAAGCTGCATACAAGCTGGGAACCACCAAACAGTTGGTGGTTGGTGTGAAGGCAGTGGAGCCGGAGAAGGAGGCATGGCCTCTTGATTGGCCCTTGGCCTAAGATTCTGCACCCCTGTTGTATCTCCTTCCTATAGGGGTTTTGGTTGTTGGGAGGTACAGAAACTTAATAATTAAATAGCGTTTCCGATCCTCAGGTTCCTTAGGTCTGTTTCACATATGCATGCATATAATCCAACTTGCTCTGTGTTATGGACTCGTTTAGACATGTTGTTTAAGCCTATGACTACTAGGACTTCAAATGTCAACTTGCATACATGAATAGATTCTCACAGATGCAGCGCCACAAAACATACCCCTCTGCAGGGGAATTGGGCTACTCATTTTCTTAAATGCTACAGTCATCACACGCAGGGGTACCAAGTGACATCTCTGCATGGAAGGACCATTGCTCAGCGATGGAGAGTGATGCTGTGCATGCAGAAGTCTTAGGTTTGGTTCCAGCGTGTCCATGTAAATGGACAGCTGATGGGATGGGGAAGACCTTGCTCAGAGATCCTAGGAAGCCAGTAGCCATCAGAGCAGACCATTCTGGGATAGGTGGGCTCACTGTCTAACAAGGCAGATTCCTTGGACAACTAAACCCATGAATTGCTTCCATGGGAAGGCACCGTATCGCCTTCGTTGAAAGATTTATCTGTGGTGTTGCATATGTGGTGACCCGTGGATGCATTCAGATTATCCCTTGGGCTTCCATACCTCAGTGGAGGAACGTGCCTGCTTGAGCCAGCCCTGGGCAAAAAGCCATCACAGCTACAAGAGTTTGACACTGGCTGAACTAGCCCTATGCCAGGTCAACTGAAAAAGTGTTAGAGGATGGAGCCTAGCTCAGTGGTAGAGTATGGAAGGCTCTTTCTGACCCAGGTATGTTTCCTGGCATCTCGAGCTAGGGCTGAGAAAAACCTCCTGCATAAACTCAGGAGACCCACCCCCTTCAGTATCTTTCGTTCAGTATTGTCCATACTAATGGTCTGACTCAGTATAAAGTGCCTTCTGGTGTTCTTAATTCACCCCAGTGCTAAAGCGAGAGAAGTGTAATAATTATTACACCAACATCTACACAAGCGAAGAACACTTTAAGGTTCTCCCAATCAGGTAACTGTTGCCTGAGGAGTGCAGCTGAGTGAAATATAATACTTTGCCAGGCACTGCAGCAAACCACGTTCCAAAGCATCCGTGGTCCATTTCGCCAAGCATCGATGCTTCATTGATGCCCTTTCTCTTTTTGCTGGGTTAGTTAAAAGATTTCACTTTCCTGCTTTGGTCCATTTCCTTTTTCCCCTTCACCAACATCTCTGAACAGCCTGGCATGATTTGTGTTGATGGAACACGTACGTATATGAGACGAGCTTCCACACAGGCATGTTCAGAACGTTGCAGGTTTCTGCGTGTGCACAAAAGGCCCTGCCAGGCTACAGCACGGCGTGGCTGAGGCAAAGCGGTGCAGACCTGCCCTTTGTCCGCAAGCTCTTGTGCTTGTCCGTGAGCGCTTGCTGGAGTCAGATGTAGAACGCGATCGAAAGCACTACTTAAGGGAATTCGATTCCCCGCTTCGTCTACTGCCCTTTCTTTTCTGCTTCACCAACCATGAATTCTAGCACTATTTTTAGGACGCACCAAGAAGAGATCCCACGTCTACTCAGTTTTTGAACATTTTTTCAGCTAGTTAAAAATATGCAGGTTTTTAAAACTCTCTGTGACCCCTCTGTTTGTTTCAGTTTGACCCAGTTGGCATGTAATCGTGTTAATTAATCAAAATTTGCCATGTGCGAGTGGCAGTGAGTCGGTGTGCTGCCTCCCGCGCATTCCTCACTTCTGCTTTTACTCAACAACCTGCAGGCAGCCAACTCGTTGGTTGTGATCCTGACATGTGAACCCAGAGTTATGGGTTGTTTTAGGGGCCAAACAACCCAATGGTTAGCAAGTGTTTTGTTGGTCTTGTGGTTGTAATTCGCCCTTAGGAATGAACCAGGTTCTCATCTTGGTTGCTGTGATTCTGTCAGTTATAGTAGGGAATCTGTGAGCTATAACTTGGCACTACCAGCTACTCACAGATAATCTGCCTTCTGACTTGGGTTCATTTCCTTGGGTTCCCATGGCTTTTTCTTAGTTTGTACCATTCAGCCAATTTTGCGGGTTGGGGGCAAATGCCCTTAACATTTTCTTCATCAAATTAGCAAATTATTCTTGTATCCTGAAGTGAAACATTCAGAAAATTGTAAACTTGACTGGGAGTACTGCCTTTATATAAGTATCTGTATTAAAGAAGTTGATGGTAGCCAATCTTTTTGACACGTGTACCAAGGTTAAGATCCATGTGCCTGTCCAGAATACATTCAAGAACATGCATAGCTTCTTCTCCCTTCTGTTTTGAGGTATACACACATTTAGTCTACTGAAATAGAAAATAGACAGCATTGTGGGACAAATAGGTGGAAGTCTAGGCCTGATTCCATAACACCTGTGCCCAAGGTCTCTCTCCCTCTCTTTCTGTCTCTTTCTTCTGTTCAAGTCTATCATGGATTCCTGCTGTCTGTGCCACTCAGGTCACATGTGTCGGATCATTTATACAACCTTCTCGCATTAACAAGATTTCATGAACTTCGAGATTGCATATGTTATCACTGACGAGTCACTTCACATGGCTGGCCCATTGGCCTGCATACATTCTGGTGGGTAGCCAGTATCAAAGCACATGATCAGAGCTCCCGTCCACAACAGTACAGCTTGGCATCATTGGAGTGTGGGTTCAGGATGAATTCCCTGTGATCTGTAATTTAGCACCCCTGTAAGGTGTTTCTAGTCCCACCAAACCTAGGAACCAAATCAAAGCTAATCAACAGAAAAAGCACTGGCTTTCTTTTAATTCTCTTCTATTTTCATCTTCCACTGTTTTCACATTGGGGTGACTTCCTCTGTTGCCATGTCTCATACAGAACATGATGGTGTTCTCTCTTGACACTTCAGGATGAACAAAGTGCTGTTTCCATGTTGAAGAAACACCAGATTTTGGAGCAGGCTGTAGAAGACTATGCTGAGACGGTGCATCAGTTATCCAAGACCAGCAGGACTTTGGTGGCAGACAATCATCCGGAGAGGTGGCTGTTGCTTTTTTATATTTCTAATTCCTTTATTTTCCTCCAAAGGATTTGTAAGAACTGCTGTGTTGGTTCTGAACAAAGTTCCATCGAGCTCAGTGTATTTCCTGTTGGCTGTTTCTAAGACCTCCCCCATCCCACCCTGACTGGCCCCACAGTGGCTGTAACTAATAAACAAGCAGTAGGCTTGGACAAATGTTTGATGCTGACCCCATAAGGAAATATGGTTTCCTGCTGTGTGAACAGGCTTACTCAGGATTTAATCTCAGATGCTCCTCACTCCTCTTCTTTTGCACACTAGTGGAAAGGATTAAAACTTTCACTTGCAAACTAACCATAGTTCCTTGTAACATCCGGACCCAGGAACAAGCTAGGATCCAAAACTATAGTTTGATCCTGATTTGTTCTCAGCATTTATGCTTTAAACAAACCACAATTCCCTGAGTTTGGATCTCATGGAGAACTATTAATAATGTGATGGTTACTGCCTGTGCTTTTTGTATTTCATTTTCCTCTGGCCTCACTGTTTATCCCTGCCCACCCCACCCCACCCCCTGATACGCTGGGTGGAGGTACCTGCAACACAGCATAACCCTTCATACATTGGATGAAGCAGATTCTAATCCACAAACAAATAGCCATAATAAACTAGTTAGTCTTTGAGGTGCCACAAGACTTTTTGTGGCTCATATGTTTTATCACATCCTGCCCTGTTTCTTGCAAGCAACTCCAGGCAAGGCAGAGCTCTCCTCTTTTCCACAACAACTCTGTCGGGTAGGTTAGACTGAGAGCCACCAAAGGGCTTCACGGATGAGTGGGAACTAGAACCCAGATCTCCTGAGACCCAGGCCTATTGCTGTGCCATGCTGACTTTCTTATGCAGAATTGTCTTCATTTAAAATTGGAAAATGTTGTGTTTGATCGCGTCCTTTGGGTTCCTGTGGGCAGCAGGGCAATCGAAAGAGACACAACTTGCAGATTAGCATGGAATATCACATCACGCCCTACTGAGCCAGGATGCAAATAAGTTACATCATAACCATGTTTCTGAAAGCTTTTTGAATTGTACTTACAATTTATTAGAGCACGTCCTGAGCATCGGATGATTTCTTTCAGGTGCAATGTAAATTCCTATAATGAATATAAAGAGCATAGAGTTTGCAGCATCACTGTCTGCTGACTGGTTAGACAGATGGTTGAGGGGAGTTTCCAGGCGGGATTTGATGAGAGATTTCCCCAAGCCCTGGTGGGAAATGGCACCATTTGGTGGCTAGGGACAATCAGGAGGCGGACAGTGATGTTTTTCAGAATTAGAAAGCAACTGAGCAAAACAAAGAGAATGGGAGGGATGAGTGTCAACTGAAGAAAAAAGCTGTATACAAATACAGCAAGACATGTGGAACTGTACATGATTCATGAGCCCATACATTTGACAGATGATGGTGTAATCCAGCAAAAACAGAGCAGAAAAATTGAAAGGGAAAAGGGCTTTCATTTCCTCTGTCTTATTTGTGTTGTATGGATTTCAGGACGATCTGCCAACAACATATGCTCCAATAGACAGGAAATAAGAATACATCCATTGAAATCTCATTGGCTTCCTTTGGAAGTTGCAACCTGGAAGAAGTCCAGGGATTAGGGATGCGGGTTATCAGTTTATCAGTAGTGTCCAACATTGCCGGAAATCCTTGCTGCCTTTGCTAGGTTCATATCCTTCCTCTGGGTCATGGGAAGAGCTGTAACATTAGATTGTTCTGTCTGGAAGGGACATTAATGCCTCTCCCATGGAAAGAACAGCCCACAGAATTTGAAGGATTTGGATTTTGTGAACTTTGTGTCTGTTTTTTAATAGCCGGTGACTGTCAGGAATCGGTGGAACTGTGCACAGGCATAGCTCCGCTGGAATTCATGAGCTACATCAGGGATACTTACCTTGTATTTGGGACCCCATGGGCTCACTGAATTGTTGGTGAGCAATACAGCAGGACCACAGCAATCATAAGAAGTAAGAGGCAAGGGAAGTGATGTGAATTTATTATTTTGTACAGAAGGCAGTTATTCCGTGACTGTTTATGCTGCTGAGAAATGCAAGCGAGGGGTGCTTCGTCCTCAAGGCCACCTTATGGCCTTCTCCAAAATAGAGATAGACACAGAAACAGGTGAACACACATAGACATTTATTACGGCATGATCCTAATCCGATGCCTGTCTCCCTACAAACTTGGAGGCTTACAGATTCTCAGTGCAGACCGGGAGGGACAACAGAGGCACATCTTACCTTCCTATCCTTTCACCCTGCATTTTCTGCTCGATAAAGTTTTCTGTCCATCTGTCTCTGGGAGGGAGGGAAGGAGGCTGGATTAGCTGCAAGATGTCTTGTATCTTGGCTATTCCAGTCTCCTCCCCGTTCCTGATCTCGGAGAGCAGCTGGTGCAACAGGGCTGGGGAGTGGCTGGGAGCTCCCTTATTCATTTTATTTATCTCATCTCTAATCTGCCCAATAATTAATTCTACCAAGTGGAATGCAAGCAGTTAAAAACCCCCCAAATGCTATGAAACAGTTTAAAATAAAGCAGACAATACAAATATTTAATGGACTTAAAATATTAGATAATATGAAAAAAATAGAAAAATCTATGCGTGCACGTGTATGTTAAGCTTATTTTATCAGTATACATGCTTTCTAATAGGTTTTGGTTGCCTTCATCAAAAGAATGTGTACATATAAAAATAACAGTGTCGCTTTTCAAAAAATCTAATCTTTTTTTAACAAAAGTTTCAGCAAACAAAGCCTAAAAGTGTCACTTATACCCATGTGTTACCATTAGAACCTTTAAAAGACAACAATAAAGTATAAAACAGCTTTTTTCCTAAGTAAAATGAATAGGAATGCTTATCTAGCTAGGAATTTTCAAATTTACAGTATTATTAAATATTTCTTTAAAAATGAATTTGGAATGAAATTATGTAGACCTTTCTGCCTATGGTAAGTATCCATAGGTCCCATTCATGTCTAAATCAAAGAAATAAGAAATATACTCATCAATTACCCAGACAGAAATTGCATTTCCCCAGAAAATATCTGAAGAATTGGATGGATTGAATTTGTCCAGTCCCTTTATGAGAGGAATTGGACAAATCCATGGAGAATATTATTATTATTATTATTGTTATTATTATTATAATATTTCTATGCCGCCCCTTGCCGAAGCCTCGGGGTGGCTTACAACACAATAAAATACATTGAAATACAATAGAACATAATAAATTACCACTAAATACAAAAATACAAAAAAATACACTGAGATACAAACATAATAATATAAAATTAAAATTAACAGTATAAAATAAGTAAATAAAGAATATAGGAGGAGAAAAGAGAAGGGAGAAGAAGTTGCCCTGGCCAGATCATATATTTTAACAATTAAAATGATGTTTAAATAAAAAGGTCTTTACCCAAGTAGTCACAGTGACTGCTTCCTGTCTCCTGGATGTGTGGCAGTGTGCTGGGGAACATGGGCATCAGGGTGAGGAAGTGTTCATGCCCTGCTTGCGGGATTTCCATTGGCATTTGGCTAACCACTTCAGGATGCAGACTGAGCCTAGGTTCCTGATCATGGAACAGGTTGCCCCAGGAAGTGATGAGTTTTTCTTTTTTGGAGGCTGCATGGCCCCCCGACAGGGATGCTGTAGCCTCACCCGCCAGCACAGAACCTGCTTGTGAGATGGGACTGAACTAGATGATTACAGCTGTATGTTTCTGTGATCCAGCATGGCTCCTCTTAGGTTAATACAGTGTATATGAAAACAAATACACACAACCCAATTAGGACGGTTCCTTCTCTCCAGTGAGCGTATCAGCATGAGGCAGTCCAAGGTGGACAAGCTGTATGCAGGCCTGAAGGACCTGTCTGAGGAACGGAGGGGCAAGCTTGACGAGAGGCACCGGCTGTTCCAGCTGAACCGTGAAGTGGATGACTTGGAGCAATGGATTGCCGAAAGGGAAGTAGTCGCTGGATCCCACGAACTGGGGCAAGATTATGAACATGTGACGGTAAGTGGACTGGACTTCTAGTTTCATATTTCTTTCTTTGCGGTGCAAGGCAACACACATCCTATATAATGTCCATGGTTAAAATGAACACTTGGATATATTAGACAAAAATAAAAAATGAAACCTTGCAGTCCATATTTTTAAGAAGTTTGGATGCAGAATGACCCTAAGCATATTTGCTTCAAAGAAAATCCCATTGAATTAAATAGAAAATGTTTCTTAAGCTGCAACCTTATGCAGATGTTTATGGAAATAAGATCCATTAAACATTGTGGGACTTCTGAGCAAACTTTTGCAGATCAAGTGTGCATGCTTGCTTACTTGGAAGTGATTCCCATTGAGTCCAGTGTAAAATAAACATGTCTTTTGCAACAAAGCTGCTTCAGTAAACAAAACAGCAGCATAACTCATTTAAAATAATAAATGTATATTCCTGTTTATAAACTAAAACTGAGCATCCTTTCATTTTTCAACATCCACATTCTTAAGGCCTCTTTCAGAACAGGCAAGCGAGAAGCCCTGGTCACATTGCATCATAGGCCCTTCTGCAGGATTTCTTTATCTCTACATTGGTCAACCTCACCAAGTTTGCTAGGGGGGCAGGTACACACAGTTTCTGTGGCACAGCCATATCGTTGCAGGTGAGCTTTCAAATAACCCATTTCCAAGCCATTTAGGGCTTCGAGCAGGATCACCAGCACTTTAATTTGGGCCCAGAAGAACATGGGCCACCACTGCCACTGGAGCCAGAGGTTGCCCAACCCTGATATATGTGATGTTGTTGAAAAAATGGGTAAAGGACAAAATAGAATCTTGTGGCAACAGGAGGGCCACAAGAAGAGCAAGTCCTCCTAAAACTGTCTTCTGGCCAGCTGTGTCCTTCCAGCCATGGGAGCACAACCACCACTCTACCTCCAAGTCCTACCTCAGCTAGATGACTAAGAAAGATTCCATACCTGATAGTATCAGAGGCTGCATGGCCACCCAACAGGGATGCTGAGAGGTCTAGAATTACCAACAGGTGTGCACTCCTGGTATCCATTCTTTGATCTACATCCTCCATTATGGTGGCCAAGGCTCCTTCTGTCCTAAACCCAGCCTAGATGCTACACTGCAAAAGATCCAAATAATTTGAGATACTCTGTGTTTCTGATTCCCTTTGAATGTCATTGATATTGTTACAAAGAAGTCTTGACAATGGCAGGCTTACCTCCATGTAATTTTGACTTCCAGTTTGCCATCTTGATTCATTTGTGTAACCACCTCCCCCTTTCCAGATGTTGCAAGAGCGGTTCCGTGAATTTGCCCGAGACACCGGAAACATTGGGCAGGAGCGTGTCGATACCGTCAACCACATGGCAGATGAGCTCATCAATTCGGGACATTCTGATGCTGCCACCATTGCTGAGTGGAAGGACGGTCTTAATGAAGCCTGGGCTGACCTCTTGGAGCTCATTGACACGAGAACGCAGATCCTTGCAGCCTCTTATGAACTGCATAAATTTTACCATGATGCCAAGGAGATCTTTGGACGAATACAGGACAAACACAAGAAACTGCCAGAGGAGCTTGGTAGAGATCAAAACACAGTGGAAACCTTACAGAGGATGCATACAACATTTGAGCACGACATCCAGGCCTTAGGAACACAGGTGTGCATTCCAAACCGACAATTTATCACAGTCCCTGGAACACAGGGATCTGCATGCTACTGAATGGGAGAGAAAGAATACTCTGTATTTCTTAGGGTTGTTGTCTCCTTTTCTTTCTACACCCCATGAAGTTTACTAAAATTCCAGCTCGGCATCCTTTTAAATAAGATACGCAGATTCTCAGGGCAAGGAACCAAATGTGACTCCCCTAGGCCCAAATCTGGCCTTCCATGGTTCCCAGGTAGCTGAGCACCAATAATTTGTGCAGCTTTAAAAGACTGAAATGCCTATCCTAAGGTTTATTGACAGGCAGTAAGGTTTTTAGCGTAAAATATGCTGGCATTCTTTGTATTTCTAGCCCCTTTTCCATTTATTCCCAGTTCTTTTACCTTCAGGCCTACCTAGAAGTGTTTCTCTGAAATGGAATTGGGCCTTGAGGTGAAAGAGGCTCAGCATTCCTGCTTGAATTCAGGCCTTCTCAACCTGGTACCTTCCACCAGGTTTGGATGACAACTCCCAACACCCCCGCCTAGGTGGGGCTGATAGGAGTTGTAGTTCAACACAGAGGGTGGGTGCCAGGTTGGGGAACAGAACTTCAAACAAAAAAACCAGGATTCTTTACTTATTCACACCACACATACCATCAAGGAATTCCCAGCCATAAAATGTGGCAGGCCCCACTAATTTAAGAGAGGATGAGACTGCAACAGCTAGATGGAACTCCAGTGTGGCAGTATGCCAGGGAAGAAAGGTCTTATTTCAAGGGGCAGGAAACTTGTGGTTCTCCAGAGGTTTGTCCCTCGACTCACATCATCCCTGAGCATTGACTACACTGTGCAGGACTGATGGGAAGCTGCAGGCCAAATACCTGGAGGACCACGAGTTTCCCACTGCTTTATGGCCAACCATCTGGCCAACCATGGTTGCAAATACGCTGAACTGGATAGGATTGTGTCCTTGTGTTCCTTGTAATTTCACAGATTCTTCATGAATCCACTGTTGCGTTTTTTTGAGGTTTTAGTGAAAAATCTGGGTGCCTGGTAGTGCAAGCTAAAGCTGTGCCAAACCGTTTGGGCAGCTCTTTTTTCAACAATGTATTGGGCAAGTAGGAGTAATACTACCCCTGTTCACAATTACTGTGTTTTGGGAAGGGAACATTTCCCTGAATTTTTCATAGTGGGCTGTCCCTTACCTTACTTAATCTGACAAAGCATCTGAAGGTCTGTTGTTGCTTTCTTCCCAGGAGCACAGCAGAAAAGTAGGCCTCCCTTTTTATGCTAGGTGGAGGGAGATTGCTTTGGAAACTGGAGATGGAATTTTGGCCCATCCTTCATGGAAATCACTTGAATGTTCACTGAGCTATAATTTATAATTAAGGATCAGAAGGAAGGCGCATTTAATTAATCATGGCAATCAAACCACCAGCATGAATCTTAAAGTGTGATGTCAGAAAAATCAGCTTGCTGCACAGAGGAGACTGAGGTCCTGCAGGCTACATAAATTGTTTAAATTAAGCAAGAGAGAAAATAGTTATTTTGCATAACTTAGAGCACAACCCTATGCATGTTTAGACAGGAAAAAAAAATTCTCCAGCTCCCAGCTTTCTTCATCCAGTGAACAAGATGCCTCTCTGAGAATCTTCAGCAGTTCTGAGATTTCATCAGGTATTGCCCATATATTTTGCTGCATAACTTTGCAATCATAAAAGAGAGAAACTTGCTGGCTGATGTTTTTTTAAATCAGAACCCAGATGCTGGAGAGGCGGATTTCTGCATGTACTACTGGATAGGGTTCCATTGCAGCAAAGTGTGCTGATATGTGTGGAAATTTGGTGTCAAAGCTGCTTTGGCTGAGATGTATCCATCGTTCTTACACCAGGTGCGACAGCTACAAGAGGATGCGGCCCGCCTTCAGTCCGCCTATGCTGGAGACAAGGCCGATGACATCCAGAGGCGTGAAAATGAAGTTTTGGAGGCGTGGAAGTCTTTGCTTGATGCCTGTGAGGGACGCAGGGTCAGGCTAGTAGATACTGGGGACAAATTCCGTTTCTTCAGCATGGTCCGCGATCTCATGCTCTGGATGGAAGATGTCATTCGTCAGATTGAAGCCCAAGAGAAGCCAAGGTAAAATGAAATTATAAGCAAAAGCGGTGGTGGTAGGCCTCTTGTTGCGTTAAAGTGACTTCTGCAGATGCAGCCCTTCATGTTCTTAAGAGGTTGAGTTTTCATTGAATGGTACTGGATTGAACTGGACTTGAGGTTGGCCTGAGTTCAAATCCACGCTTAGCCAGGAACACATGGGCTTTTGAGCTTCAGTTTTCATCTGTAAAATGGGAACAAGCCCCTACAAGTGGGCAGAAATGGTGCAATACGATTACTTCCTCACCTAGACTTCTGGCAACAGTGGGCTAGAAAATCATTGATAGATTGCACAAAACCTGCACATGATTTTCATAATGGAATGGGATTATAAGGGGATTGAACCAGTTCATGGAAAGCAAGAGCCTCAGTGGTTCTGTGCTACATCCAGTATTAGTGGCTGTCTGCATATGTACACCAGTTGCTGGGGAACATGGGTGCTGTCACACTCATGTCCTACTCGTGGTTTTTGTAAACAGCTGTTTTGCAAAGTCTGCATGGAGATAGCTCACCTGTGCTTGCATGCTTGGTTATAAATTTGGTGTATGCCTTTCTGAACCATTGACATTTTGTTTTAGAGATGTTTCCTCTGTTGAATTGCTGATGAACAATCACCAGGGGATCAAAGCAGAAATAGATGCCCGTAATGACAGCTTCACAGCGTGCATTGAACTGGGAAAAGCATTGCTGGCAAGGAAGCACTATGCGTCAGAAGAGGTACTGTGCTTTCTGTAACTGCAAGAGAGCATGGTCTGGAAGACAATATGTAAGAACTGCATCGTCAGATGTGAAAAGCTCCCTGCATTAAATGAAGTTATTCTTAAACCTCTGCCTTTTCCAGGCTGCTTTACATTCTGTCTGTCTAATGAGTTTATATGCTGCCTCTTCATAGTTGATCAAGGTGGCCTACAAAAATAAAAATGTTAAAAATAGTAACAAATAACCCGATAAATCATTAGTTCCATAATAGTGCAGCACTTCTTTTAAGTTAAAAGGGTGGAGTTTGCAGCTGCAAGATGTTGCGATGGCCACCAAACGACTCGGAGGTCGTTTACAGGGGATTAGTTCATGTTGGAACATCAGAGCAGAGGGTGTCTAAGCAGACTTGATCAGCACATCTCCTCTTAGGTTATTACAGGAAGGAATCTCCTTGTTTTTGGTCAGAGTCTCAGAACTGGTGTATGGCAGTGATACTGGGTTTGTTTGATTCTTACTCTTATTCTGGTCTGGTCACATCAGGCTTGATTTCTGTTAATGTTTGCTGTGTCTTTGGGGTGCACACTATGCAGATCTGCAGAGGATAAGCTTAGAAATTTGGCTTTTAATTTTAGCAAAAAGAAGAGGCCCTGCACTAGGACCATGTGGCCACATGTTGGGAGCATTAAGAAGAGCAGCTCTGTCACAGCCTAAAGAGGAGGAGAAGCGTCATCTTGTGTGACCCTAATGTTCCTTTAATTCCTTTCAGATCAAGGAAAAGCTATTGCAGTTGACAGAGAAGAGAAAAGAAATGATTGACAAATGGGAAGACAGATGGGAGTGGTTGAGACTGAGTAAGGATCTCTTGTCTGCTGTTTAAAGAATAATACCACCTTTCCCCCTCCCTCCCTTCTCTTAAATTGCTGTCATTCATGGATGGGGTTGACATTTAAGGCCTTGTATTTAAAGACCAGTTTTGTTCTTTTAATCCATAGTATGATTTCCCTGTTGGGTTGTACATCTCAGTTTAGTTTAGTGGTTGGACTTGTCTTTGGGAGATACAAGTTCTAGTCCCCACTTGACCATGGGGTGACCTTGGGTGACCTTGGACCTGTCACTCACTGTCAGTCTAACCTACCTTGTAGAGTTGTTGAGAGGATAAAGCAGGGAAGAGAGAGACCATTTACACTTTCTTGGGTTCCTTGCAGGAGAAAACAGACAATAAAAAGAAGGATCTGGAAAAGGATTTATTGATTTATTTAATGTATATGCCACCCCATTTGCCACAGGCTCTCTGAGCGGCTCACAACATGATTAAAACAATATAATTGGTCATAACATAAAACTAAACAATGAATACTAAAATAGCCATGATAAAACAAAAATACATAATAAAATCAGCATTAAAATAAAAAATAAGGCAGTAGAAAAAGAGTATCATTAAAAACCATTAAACAGTGAATCAAACAGCTCACTCACTAGAGTGCTTATGAAAGAGAGAAGTTTTTAACAGGTGCCTAAAAATATACAGAGTAGGTTCCAGCCGCATCTTGGATGGAATACCCGAGTTGGGGCACTATCACAAAAAATTATCCTGGCGTATAGCACTGGCTATGGAGTATAAGAGGCAGGGTCCCTCATATCTTGAGCAAATATTATCTTCTGTTTTCAAGGTAATAAGGCTATTAAGACAGGAGCCAGTTAGATTTTTTTTCTTTTAAACTTCCACATCCCCGATGGAGAGATGGTTGGTTTGTAATCCGTCAGGACATGTAAAAACATTACAGTGCTTTTGCACCCATCAATTGTCACTCACACATCACCTTCTTTGGTGTAATGATAAATTTCAAAGTGTGGGCGCTCATGCTGACAGCCCCCATTGTCAGACCCCCGAGGAGAAGGGAGAAACAGAGGCCGTGAGTTGCACTGACGTATTTCCACAAGCCAGCTTTAGCACATCTTTCAAAATGTTACTGGATCATGATTGCTCATTCAAAGCCAAACCACCCCACAATGGTTCCCATTACAACAGTGATACCTCATATCAGTTCAGAGGGAGCTGGGAACTCAAAGGGAAATGGCGACAGGCATCAGCATCCCAGCCAATCAGGAGTGCTGGCAATGCGTCCCTCCAAGCCCGGGTCCCACTACACCACTCATCACTATAAGCTACATTTTCACCCACAGAATCGTAGAAACATAAAAAGCTGCTTTATGCTAAGTTAAATTCTGCTGCCCAGGAGGTATGTGTAACTAGACACGATCCAAGAGCTCACAGTCTCGGCCATGGTTACCATCTCTCTGAAATGTGTTTTGAAGAGCCATAGTTTGCCAACATTGCTGAAATGTTTTAGCGACCAGCTCAAGTGTTAGATTACTTCTGCAAATAGGTGGTTCTCATGAGCAACAAAAAATAGCACGCAGGCTTTCATGTGAAGAGGCTTTCATTCATTGCTTCGAACAGAGAGGCATGGAAAGCAATGATCCATAGAGTGGCGAAGAGTCAGGCTCAACGGAATAATTGACGATGATGATTCCTCCCCTACCATCTCCTGCCCCCCCAAAAAAGATGGAGAAAAATATAATTATACAAATAATGCATTAGAAATTAGTGATAAATCAGTGAGGGCAAGCCACATTAGTCTGTTGCAGCAAATTCAATTGTGTGTTAGATCCCAGCATAAGCATTTAATAATAATAATAAATATGTGTTGTAGGTAGTATTTCAGTGTTACGATGGTACTGCTATAATTGCTTTGTGCACGTTATACGCATGCTGGGATTTCCAGCGTCTCTTTATGTTTATAAAAAGAAAACATCTCTTTATGTTTTTAAAATAAATTGTTTTTCGCTGGGAGAGTGGCAGACGGCAAAAAGATGAGTGGGCCACCCCTGCTGTCCGTATTTAGAGTCATAAGGACTGGTAACGCACCTTGAAGTTCATACTCTACTTCTGCCTCGTATTTCAGTTCTTGGGTGCATCACTTTTCATTCAGTCTCACCAGTTTGCCTTCTGGTTATGTGTGTTTTCTGAGCAGCCTTGCCCACCATGGCAGCCATTTTGTGGGAGCATCCACCACACTTGCAGAATTCTAAACGTGCCGACTGACCCCAAAAAATTGGGATTCCCTAACGGAAAGCCAGGTCCTGATGGTCCTCCTGGAACATGCCTTCTCATTATGCAGGCTATTCATTCACCATTGTTGGCTTTTAACGGAATCTTCCATTCCCAGAGAGCCCTAAATTGGCTATAGGTTGTGGTATATACATTTTAAAAATAAATAAAATTAAAAAAAAAACTTCCTGTGCCCATCATGGGGAAGTCCTTGGGGTTGAAAGCTATCTGTGGTTGCAGAAGAGCTCTCCAAATCACTTGTTCTGTATTATTCTGATGAAACAAGCCAAGGAACCTGCACTGAGGAAGAATGGTGTACAGTGCTTTTATGGAAACAGGGTCATAAGAAACCTAAGTCTCTCGGGTAGTACTTGCTGGCCCTAAGCATCAAACATTCATTCATTCATTTAAACAATTTCTATTCCGCCCCATTCGCAAAAAGCCTCGGGGCGGCTTACAACAATATTGTAACAAATATTTCTGACTTCAATTTAGTTCTGGAAGTACACCAGTTTTCAAGGGATGCAAGTGTTGCTGAGGCCTGGCTACTAGGGCAGGAGCCGTACTTGTCAAGTCGTGAGATAGGACAAAGTGTGGATGAAGTGGAAAAACTCATCAAGAGGCATGAAGCGTTTGAGAAATCTGCCGCGACTTGGGATGAAAGATTCGCAGCGCTTGAAAGACTTACTACGGTGAGTTGCTGCAGGAGCCATCTTGGGTTCTTTGTACCCAAGTGTTTCAGCTGTTTTAAGTACTCTTAAATAATTGCATAGGTTGTGGTAGATTGCTTGTTTGAAAAGATGAGGTCAATTAAATGTACATAAGAGCAATAACACTAATTTTGAAGCAAAAAGCATACTTTGTGATTTAATGTTGCATACTTATGGAACGGCAGATTGTCTCAGAAAAGGCATTCCGTCCAGCGTGAGTGAAAGCAGATAATGACACTTCCAGCAAGGTGCTGGCCATCTGCAGCCTTTTTAAACCCTTGGGTTTAAAATCATTTCAGAAAATTAAAATCTCTTGCAGATTAATTGAATGCATGTTTCAAAAGAACTTTCAGTAAACAATAATCCAACAGAAAATGGAGGGCGCATTTTCTCAGTAACTATTCTTCACTCCAGTGGATAACAGGACCCCATACAAGATGTAAGAAAGGACTAATATATCATAGATGCAATGCAATAAGATGGTAAAACAATATTCATAATGAAAATAAACCAAGAACCTAAAAACAGCAAAGTAGATTAGGTATAAACTAGCCTTAAAACATTAAAATGCCTGGACAAATAAATACACTTTATTCTAGCATCAGAATTATGCACATGACAGCTTCAGCTGAGCTTGGATGGGGAAGGCATTCAGAAAGTGAGGTGCTACCATGGAGAAGACCCTTTGTCTAGTTCCTTCACCATGGGAAGGCTTCCTGGCTTGGGGTTCAGTATCTGCAGGATTATACAACACTTTCGTGACCTGAGCTGCACTGACCGCAGTGCTCTAGCAGTTGTGGAGGGGAGGGAACCTTCTGTCCAGGGTCTGGTAGTGCTCCAAGACAAAAAGCCCCGGATGGCCCTTGGAAGATGGACCATCATCAGAAACACAGTAAAGGATGGGTGTTAAGTTTGGAGTGCCTAAGAAATAAGCCAAGCTGTTTCCCCTTTGTTAGGAAATAGCTCTGCATTTCCAAGACTCTCTCTAATACGCTGTGTGTGTGTGTGTGTGTGTGTGTGTGTGTGTGTGTGAGAGTGTGTGAGAGAGAGAGAGAGAGAGAGAGAGAGAGAGAGAGAGAGAGAGAGAGAGAGATGGGAGGAGATGGTCACCTGTCTCTACCTAGGTTGTTGTTCAAGTAGGACCTAACATTGTCTTTTTCTCAAACCTCTCCTGAATCCCTCCTCTCCCCACTCCCAAGTTGGAATTGTTGGAAGTACGTCGACAGCAAGAAGAAGAAGAGCGGAAGAGGCAGCCTCCTTCTCCGGAGCCAAGCCCCAAGACTGGAGAGGAGCCTCAGCAGTGGTAAGCAGGCGGGTGAGCTGGGAAAGGAAGTGGGAGACGCAGAGCTTGTGTGGCTTCCTAGCTGCATGCAGGCGCCGCCAGCTTGGGAGCCAGCCACACCAGGAGGGCTGTGTGTTGGCCGCCACCGTCCTGCACGAATTGAGTGTTTGTCCCTGAATCGCTTCCCCTCTGCCCCATGCCACTTGGGACCTTGGCAGGTACAGTGGCAACAACGCTGATGCAGAAACCATCCGAAAGGTTTACCCTTGTGCTTCTGCTTCCTCTCTCTACAGGGATGGCACAAAAGGAGAACAGGTCTCGCAGAACGGTTTGCCGCCGGACCAGGAATCTCCCCGGGTTAGTTATCGCTCCCAAACCTACCAAAACTACAAAAACTTTAATAGCAGATGGACAGCTAGTGACCGGCCACGGTCTGGACTCTGAGACACAAAACAATGTTCAGGAGGCCACTGGCTACTTCTCTTTCCATTTGTCTCTGATTTGTTTGCCTCTGAGATCCTTTATAGCTTCATTCCTCCACACCCCAATCCATGCAACTTTATTTAACGAGTAGCCATCACACCCCTTCCCCCTCCACAGCAGCCTGCTCTTTGATTTTATACATGTTTATATATATATATATATATGTTGCCTTAATTCTAATACTTCGGATGCCTTCAGGCACTTGGGTGCATTGCGACAAAGCTTTTGTTTCATGATCTTCTGTTGTGAGTTTTTCATTTTGCTAATAGCCTTGAGATTTTTGCAGCTTAAAGCCATCCCTTTATGTGAGTAATTGAAATGTAATGCGATTTCATCCTAATGGAAGACGAGAAGTAGAGTCTTGGCAGGTATGATGCTTCTAGCTATGCTAACAGGTTTGAGTCGCACAGTGCTAGCGAACCAAATGCACTTTCAGCAGATGCATTATGCACGCGATCCGAGCTTACAGACTGAAGGCACTCAGCAGAAGAGGTTGGGGAGGGAGTGATAAAGGAGAAGGGAAGGGAGGAGCAGCCGCACCAAGGGTACAAGTCAAGCGGTTAGTAAGTTGTTAAGCATTCCAAGTGAAATGAACCCATGAACTGACAATAAACACTAAATGGCAAGATGATGCAAAATTAGCAGACAACTGGATCTTTCTTCTTACTGTCTCTACAAGGGTTTCCAGTGTTGCTTTTGTCTAGCTGGTGGCTTCACTTATTGTCAAAGCCACCACCATTACTCTGTGGTTATATATTATTTTGGAACAGTGAGCAGATTTCAGATTCAACCTTAAATCTGTTAGAATGTCATAAGCCCTCTTGAATTGAGCAGGACCCCCACAAAGCTTTTCCCTATGTGACAATTACAGGCTGCATTGTCATATCATTTTAGGTACCAGATTCTGGCTTAGTAAGCCAGAATGACAGGGTTCAGACAACACGGTAACTCACACTCAAAGGGTGAGTGCTGGCTATCATCAGCCCATGGACTGTTGTTGAAACATGGGTTGTCATGTTATCTGAACTCAGCCATTTGTTAACCATGAACAACCCAACGAGAGAACCCATGCTTTGTTGCTAGATTGTGACCTGTAGGTTGTTCATCTCTGTTTGTTATCTCAACTGAGTTCAGACAACACAATAACCCATGTTTCAACAACAACCCACTACAGCAGATGCTCAGTCCATACTCTATCCTGAGTTTTGGTTATTAATTCATCTGAACTCAGTCAATGTGAACAAGTTGTGTGCTCAGTTGGGAGTAGGTAAGAGTAGGCAGCCCATCTTCATGAAAGTGAGTAAACAAGCCATGAAGTACTGCTTCATGTGAGGTCCAAACCCTGGACTATGTTTAAGTGCATCTAATTAAGCAGGGTTTGTAAAGTAATGACAAACCATGGTTTAAAGCTGGCTTTGTGTGTTTTGGGTATAATTAACCCTAATACCAGGCTTGGATCTTGTATGAGCCTGTTCTGCTCCTGATTTGTTTACATGCTGCTATGAAGGAGAAGCAAAGCGGGCATGGCCCAGCCATGGCTTGTTTCCATTCTGAATTGTTAAATCATCATTTTCAGCTTAAGCGTTACACAAATATGGTGATAATGGGAACAGAAGGAGAGCCATCTTTGCCTTTCCCCAGTAGCAGTTGCTTACCATGATGTGCTATTTCAGGCTGCAAACCCAAACACTCTGACAGATTTTTGCCAAAAGCAGGACTTCTGAGGAAACATGGTTAGTACTGCACAGTCCATGAGATGGGTCTTCTGTACAACTGTAAAAGCATTTTATGGACCACCTTGGAGATTTTAAGAATGCAAACTTGACTATTTCCACCAATTCGGTCCTTTCTTTCCCACCGTACAAATGAAAATTCTAAGGGGAAAGCTGTGGAGGAAAGAGGGAAGATGTAAGTGCATGAATGGGCAGCAAAGGTAAAAATATGTTGCATCATGTTGAGACAAGTGGCTCAAGGGTAAGAGGTCTCTACTACTGTGGAAGGAGGAGGTCCATCCTAGAGGTCCGCTGGAGGAGGGGGTGAATCATGAACCTTCACTTAGTAGAGGTTATGCAGAGGATCGTTTAGGAGCAAGTCAGAATTAATACTGAAACATTTGCTTGCTGACTGTTCCTTTCCAAAAGAGGAGGCCAGGTAGAGGAAGAGTAAAGCTACCAGCAGTGTAGCTACCACTGGACAGATCCCTTTTTGTCATGCTGGCATTCAAGGAGCAGTCGGCTCAAGGGGTTCTGTTTGACACTCATCACACACCAATGAGGTTAGTTAGGCTGATAGACCCTGATAAAGAACCATCTCAGCACATAGTTCACTACAGAGCTACTCCCTCTCCCCAGATAATTTCTTAGGAATTTCTTCCCAAAACAATTCTAGCAGAGTATTCTCAACATGCTCACAAGCCACATTTCCCAAGATTCTTTGGACAGAAGCGATGACAGTTAAACTCCACACGTTTCTAATTGCTGCAGTTTCTGGCCTGTGCCATCAAATTGACTCAGACTTACAGTGACCCTATGAAGGAATGCACTCCAAAAGGTTTTGTCCTTAGATTGTATTGTTTTTATACTTTTAGAGGCACTGCCTCTGGGATCGCCCTTGCTGATAAAAGAGCAATTCAATTAAATACTGTAGGTGCTGTATTGCCATTGCCGGTAGAAGTGGTGAGGCGTGTGATGCCCCCAACAAAACCCAGACTGGGTGGCGTGCTGTAATCCAGAGTTCGCCTCCCCATTAGCGCCACCAGTCCACATCAATCATGCATGGAAAGAGCACAGAAAATTGACACATTGTGCTTTACGGGTGGGCGAATCGCTCAAAAATAGGCCAAGCGGTGGCCACGTCATCTTGCGTAAAAGTTGCACTGAAAACCTCTTTCATTTACATAGGCTGAGATTATGGCATAGTTTATAGTTGGTTCCCATAATTTAAGAGAGATTGGTGGAATCTTCATAATTGGCACTTGTGAGTTTTCTCAGGTTTATTTTATGGCCTTGTTATTTCAGAAAGTTTTTCTGTTCTAGTGTATCCACCCCCTTCAAAACCTTTCTGACCTTTAGCAAATCCTCTGGTATGCCTCAGAGTCTTCATAAAGTGCACCAGATGTGTTTTGAATTTCTCAGTATTGTCCAGCAAAATTCATTAGTGTAAGGAGGTTGGGATTTTATAGTTGCATGCAAACTATGTATTTCTTCATTATCATGCATTTCTCTCTCTTTTTCTCTTGTCAGGATTTCAGCATATAGCTCCATAATATTCTTTAGATTTCCTTGTAACTGCATATTTATATGTTTTGGTGCTTTCATTCAACCAAGGTCAGGTCTTTTGCCCCTCAAAGTGCATTAAGTATGCAGGACTCAGAGCTGCTTTTTGAACGGTTTCTGTGGGAAAGAGGAATGGTACAATCTGTTCTTCACCCTTGAATACCTGAACAAGGTTCCATTTCATCATAATGGCTCTGAATAGCTAACGCCCAGAGGAGGGCTAGTATCAAAGAAGTCAAATCTAAATCCCGGAGCATAAGGGGGTGCTGTGATTTTCTCTTCCATTAAACACCACCTTTCTTTTTATTTTAAAAATTACGTTAATTTACAGAACAGTGTGTTGGCTGTCCTTTCTTTGCACATGTCTCTTGATTCCTCATCCAGTGGTGCAAACGCTTAAGGAAAAAGAGCAATCCTGAATGTAATATTTTTATTCATGCACTTTGAGAAATAAAGGGGGTATTTCCAGTCATGCCCTCCCCTGCTGCCATGCCACATTGTATGGGCAGGATTTACATCCTTTGAAAGCCAGCTACGCACTAAACCGACCTGCTATTAACATTCCAGGGATGGAAATGTGTCTTCCGAACATACTTGTGTTTATGTGTTTTTGCTGCTGCTCGTGTGATTAACCGTTGTCGCCCGTGGTGTAATGACTGCATGCTCAAAGCATGTTTCCCATTAAAATTTTATTCAGCTGTATTCTCATCCTGCCCCCCCCCTTGTGTCATCATAATCGTTTGCATACATGTTTACCTCTCCTTTGCTGTGGAAAGCATTGGTTTAAAAAAAAAGGTCATTAAGGTATTTGCCACTGAGTGTTAAGAAGGTGGTGCAGACCAGCAGCAGACGTTACCTGCTCAGGTATGGACGGCTCACTGCCATGATGCTTCACCCTTGCCTGCACAGGCAAGCGATTCTCAGGCAGTCCCCGTGCACAGCCTCAGCTACTGCATTGGCTCCCAACGGCCAGAAATTGGGAAGTGCCAATGGGGACTCAGTAAAATACACCAAGATGGCCTGCCTGTGGGACAGGGATGGAGCGTCATCTGCTGGGTGCAAGATCCTGTGTTCACATCCTTTGCTACCCATTCTCCATTACACAAACTTATTTTTCTACTTGACAGAATCTTACTAGGATGAATCCCACAATATCTGTATTTACATATCCTGTTCTGGCCCTGGCTGGATATTCTCCATAGCTGAGGACTTTTGATTGTTCAGGCTCACGTTCTCATAATCCCTTTCTAGTTATATTCAAAGATGAGAATAACCACACATTTGAAAATACTCTTGTTTGTCCGTAAGTTTTGCTTAGCTGAATATTTGGGTTGCCTGCTGGGGGCTTAAGCTGCATGATATGGGTTCATATTGAGACCTAGACTTGATGGAGACATTTGGCTGGTTTCTAGAACTGAGCGTTCTTACTGAAGATGTCAGATTAGCTCTTCTTACAAACTCAGTAGATTAGAAGAAAGCATACATCAAAAATATAAAACATTAAGAGGCTCTGAGGTAGCTTATTGTGCAATCCTAAACATGTCTACTGAGAATTAATTTATACTGTTTTTAGTGGGTCTCACCCAGAAATAACAGGGTCTCAGACTGCCCCCTTAGAAGACTAACTGTTCAGGGCCACTGGGAAGGGGCAAGGTTAAGGCTCTTCCTCACACCTGCCAGTAAATTACCTTGCTGCTGAAGCCTGCATCTCATGGTGGAGCAGCTGGGTGGCCAGGAAAAGTGGCCGGGCACCCTGAGATTGCTTGGTCTACAGGTCTCCATAGGCACTCTTAGGGTTTGTGCGGCTTGGAGAGCTGCCCAGCTGAGTGCATCATTAAAGCTGGTTTGGCTGCTTTAAGCTCATGGACAGAAGTATTTACCACCGGACCATTTGCATCCATTTAAGACTTTTTAGAAATCGTGTAGAAACATTTTTATAGCATAAAATCACATCTAAGCAATTGTTGCATATAACAGCACAACAAGAACATCTTGCAGCTTAAAAGGCACGTCAGAGCAAAACGGTTTGAACAATCCTGCAAAGGGTTAGGAGAAAAGGGGCTACTGAAGCCTCCCAAGGAGGGAGTTCCACAGATGAGGTGCCATGACTGAGAAGACACTGTTGTGCTGGAACACTGGAGGTCAGCTAACATACTAGGGTGAGAGTTACAAGATGATGTAGAAGCCCCATTCACAAGTGTCACACCAAACAGTTGTAGCTAAACCAGCGAATGTACAGCTTGCTGCATTATAACTCTACCGCTTCTGAATTGTCCCAACCTTGGCTGGAGCTGTGAAAGTGTCTTTTAATGATGATATCCCGAGGAGTCTCTGCTTGTCCTCCATGCAAAAATGGCACAAAGTGTTTGTAATCTACTACTAGAGCACTGAACAGCACTAGGCTTTAGTAACTTGCTAATCATAATCCCCACACTCCAGTTGTGTAACTCTTTGTGGGCTGCTACCGATGCCTTTTTTGTGGCCCAGAAATGGAAATCCCAAATTCTTGATAAACATTACCTATCCCAATTGGGTCCAAGCCTCTGTTGTGAGAGTTTAAAGCTTTCAGGATTTCGCTTGTAAATGATTTGGGGAATGAAATGGCTGCTGAAGACTTCAAGAATGTGACCAGTCAGAGCTGGCCTTGTAGGCATCTCAGTATCGGTACAACGGAAACGTGACCAACAAAGCGAGCGATGGCCAAGTCCTTGGTTCTGTCTTTGTTTGGGGGTAAATAGACGTGTGACGTTGAGTGGTTGTAGTGTTTTCCTAGCTCCTTTAACATCCGTTCCAATCCAATCCACCCAATTCCAAAGTCTGACAATAGAGACTTTGAAAGAAATTTAATATTTTTAACTTTTGACCTATCTCCTTCCACATTCCTCTTCCTTATAAACCTGCCTGTCTTTGAAAATCCAATTTCTTTAACAAGGATGGTGGACCTGATGAAAATGCATGCTGTCCTCTACCTACCAACTTCTGCATGTTGTCTTCTGATTATACTGTCACCTTGGGGATGGGATAGCTGGTAGTGGTGTTGAAGATGCATATGCACTTGTAGAAGCAGTGCTGTGATGAATTGTGAATGCTGCTGACTTAATACATGGAGTTACTGCACAGGCACAGCTGCAGTAATTCTATAAATGTATGAAAGATGACTTTTGTGAACCATTCAGATTTTTCTTTCTGTTTTTCTTATCTTAGGGAAGTGAGATTCTTGCTATTGTAGCATTCGAGCAATCAAAAATGTTTGCAGAGAAAGAATGTGACCACAATCTGGGGTTCCACACATGTGCCCGGTGCTCATGACCTGGCAAAGAACTGCATTCTCTGTAGCCATTAAGAGAGAAGGCAGAGTTGCATGTGCAATTAGCATTTACTAGAAACTGTGGAGCATTAAGGATTGATTAGCCAAGCCAGATGTGGTAAAACTCTCACAGATGGATGATCCCCTCTTCTTCCCCATTACTTCACCTCTGTCAGTTGGGTACTAATCTATTGATGTTTCCTTCAACCTTATGTTTCTCCAGCGGGGTGTAAGGACAGATTTACTCAATGGCCTAGGCTTTTGTAGATGGAGTGTGCAAATGAGCATCTTTTTTAAATTTTAAATAAAAAGGAAATGCTTTCTGATGCCATCTTACCCAGCAGCAGTTCATTCCTCACTCTTGTTTCTTAGATGGGAGAAGGACGGGAAGCCAATGAAATGGTCAACGGAGCAGCAGATCAGAGGACAAGTTCTAAAGAAACAAGTCCGGTTCCTTCACCAACTGCAGATCGCAAAGCCAAGACAGGCCTCCAGGCCCAGACAGCTGCCACCCTCCCAGCCAAAACACAAGAGATGCCTTCTGCTCAGATGGAGGGCTTCTTGCATCGCAAGCATGAATGGGAGTCCCACAGCAAGAAGGCCTCAAACAGGTATTGTATTTTGAATGAAGATCAGGAGAATGGAAAGATAGTTTGGTGAATCTGGTTTTAATCTGGTTCTGTCCTGTAAGCTAGGGCTCTTGTTCCTTTGGTCTGATGTCCCAATCCACTCAGCCAGTGTTTCCCTAACTTTTCATGGCCTCTCCACATGTTACCAATTAGTTCCTACTTCTCTGACTCCATGGCTTGGTTGTTCAGCTTTTGCATGTTTTCACCTTCTCATTCTAAAAGGCTGATTTGTTTATCCAAAGGATTAGTTACTGGCAGAAAAAGCTTTAAGTGAAAATTTTAAAAAAGCTTCTGGAAGTACACATTTGCATTAAAACAAGATGGTGCTTGCCACACACCTTGTTTTAAATGTAGATGTTCTACTTTTTGCTGTTTCTGACCCATCCTGCTCTTAAAGCCTTCAGTTCACTGACTAATGAACTATGGTAATGGAATTACACTCTTTTCTTTTTTTACTTGTTAGTGGCTGTTCTGTATTGAAAATGGAAAGACTTTTACTAGGGTTCTTGTTTTAACAGCATCTCACTGGCTGAGTTCACATGACATACTAACACACCCTGTGAGCAAGTGATGCGGTGTGGGTTATTCATGGAACGTGGGTTGCTCTGTTGTGCAGCAGGCATTTGAGCTTGCCATGGGCTGCCTCCCTCTCCTTCCCCTTGGTGTTCCCATAGGTATCCCAGGGTCTTACATGGCAAAACCTGTCTTGTTTGTCCTACTGTGATTGCCACCTCTTTTGCTGTGGCTTCCTCTTGCTTTTTGAAAACTGTTTTGTGATCTGTAAAATGACGTCCAATGACAGCCCCTCCAAAGTGCCCAAGCGGTATATTGAAGTGTTCATCTCACCACCTGGTCTCGTTTTTGCCAGAAATGTTTTCAGTAATTATTTTGAAAGTTTGGTCATTAGTTCAGAGTTGCTCATGTGTGTACAGCTCTGATTGCTTGAAACTGTTGTCAAAGTAAGCAACATCCATGGACATTGACAAAGTCAGGCTTCAGATACCTTAGTTTGCTTTCATTTGACAGCTGTCATATGGTGTGAAGTACAAATAAAGTTGCCAGCAGAGTTTGCTTGCAAAGGGGGAAGATCCTTAGGTAGTTAGGTTGGACTTGACAGTTCTCAGTGTTCTTTACATTTTCCCAAGACTCAAGGTGTTTGCGAAAGAGGAAAGGTGAAGCCCACATCATTTTCAGGAACACTTTTGTCAGCTGTCAAAAGAGAGCTTTCCTTTAAAACAGGTTTTTTGACAGGGCTTAATAGGCCTTTTGACATGGATATTGTATGTATGTATGTTGTATATGTCCCTGTCAAAAACCATACCATTGCTGCTTTCCTTATGAAAAAAAATAAAATGTGCTTAGACCTGACTAGTGCACCAATGCCAGAAATAGGAAAGCTCTAGAATGGTTCTATTTGGCAAACCACCTTTTCTCCTCCTCTCCTTCTGTTTCTTCAAGAACTGTGCCATTCATGCTTCTTGCACATTAATATATTTTTCAGGAAAGAGCTTTGATCTGCTTATGTAACACTACAGTGATAAAAATACAAAGTGAAGGTGTGCTTCCTTGTGACAGTTGCTTTTTTGTTTCCTTTGATTTCCCAAGATCTTGGCATAATGTCTACTGTGTTATTAACAACCAAGAGATGGGCTTTTACAAAGATGCAAAGGCTGCTTCCTCAGGCATTCCCTACCACAGTGAGATCCCTGTGAGTTTGAAAGAAGCAGTGTGTGAGGTGGCAGTTGAATACAAGAAGAAGAAGCATGTGTTTAAGCTAAGGTAAGAATTTGGCATCTCTCCCTGTGGGATAGGATTTTGTGCAGCTGGCCTGACAGTTTCTCTAAATCAGTGGCTTTTAGGAAATCATTTCCACATCCATGGGTCTGTCAAGAAACTCTAGTACATTCGCAACACACAGCCGGTGCACTGCAGAGGACACTGTACCCTAGAAACATAGCACCCTACGTTCATCAGGGCACTATTCAGGTCTGCTGGGCCTCATTCTTTCCCCTGTAGTCCTTGCCTGCCCCCTTTTAAATTCCAACATATGGTAGGCCTAATATAAACTGGATGACTTCATTTTGTGGCATTCTTGGTTTCAGAACAGGAACTCACCTTTTGACTATTCTGCTGCGACCGTGTAGACAGGGAGGTTTGTCAGACCAGCTCAAAAAGCACAAAGGGCAGGAATCAGTATGTACGTCCAAGGTCCCAGAATCCTTTTTCTTGTTTGCACTAGTATAGCTGCACTTCGGGGCTGATTTTTAATTTGCTACGCCAGAGGCTTTTGGGGATAATATTCCAGCATCAAACATGATTATTTCCACATTATTTTTATATCCTGGCTTTTTTCCTCTTTGCAAGGGTCCAGGGCATGGGCAACTGGGTAACAGATAATACTCTAGGACCCAGGAAACAAGGCAAGGTGGTAAAGCCAGATTCCAGTTACCAGTCCAAGTCATAAGTCCAAATTGCAGAGTGAATCAGGGCAAAGTCAGACCAGGAGTCCACTGTAGCACAGTCCAGGAAACAAAGGAGTGCTCAAACAGAAGCCAGGAGTCAAGAGACAGCATGAGGGAGCAGGTGCCAAACACAGCAACAGCTTCAGTACACTGGAGACCAGAGTTCCTTAAAGCAGCTTGTCAGGGGAAGAGCCAGTTCTTAAATAGCTCTTCCCTAAGGGCTCAGGTGGTGCTCTTGAGCACCCTGGCATCTGCAGCACTGTGGGACAAATCCTGCAACTACCAGGGCTGTTATTCTGATGCTTGGCCAGCAGGAGGAGCCCTGAAGCTGCCCAGATCCTGACACTCTTGCAAGGGACCCAAGGCAGCTTTCTCTTACCCATTTTATTCTCATAGCAACAGCCATGTGAAGTAGGTTAGACTGAGAGTCTCTGACTGGCCTCAGAGTCTCCCAGTGAGATTCATGGTTAAGTGGGACTAGAACCCGGATCTCCCAAGTCCGCAGCGCTACATCACACTGGCTCCAACATTGCACATAGTTGCAATGATCAGAGGCAGCCTTCAATCCTTTTGCTTCAAGGGCATATAGATGGCAAGAGTCTGTCTTCAAGGGGCAACACAACCAAATCCTTCTTCAAGGGATTTTAATAGTTTTGCTTCCAAATGTAAAAGAACAAGCAAAAAGCCTCTATACACCTTCCAGAAAGTCGCTTAGCATTAAGTTACCTTTAAAGAGAACAAGCAAAGCAAGTGAATATTATCTAAGCAGCTTGCCAAGATAGGGGAGAGATTATTAAGTTTCTTAAAAATAATAGAAGATGAGTTTGAGAGAAGCCAGCTCATCAACCGGGAAGCCAAATGCTTTGGAGAATTTCCCCATCTTCCCTAGTGAAGTCACAGAACCTCCAGCTGTGTGATTTATTGATGATTGTTCATATTGTTATAGTCCTTTGATGATCTTGATGCATTGTTAAGACCAGGAACTGCTGCATTCAGTGTGGCTTTGTGCCCCCAGATGTGCTACAGATGTGCGGATGACTACGAAGGAGGTAGAATAACTCCAACTCAGTCTGGCTCGTGGTCCCTTCCAGACGTGTTGAACTGCATTTTCCATAATTCCCAGCAAGTATGGCCAAATACCTTGCAAGTGAGGAATTATGGGAGTTGCAGTGTAATATGTCTGGAGGCCACCAAATTGAGGAAGGTTGGTGCAATGGTTAGAACCATAGATTTGGAGGGGGCCTTGAAGACCATCTAGAGCAGCCCCCTACCAGGACTAGAAAATCCCCCACAGAACATCCGCAGCATCCAGCTGTTGCCAAGAACTTCTAAATTCAAGTATTCTCTGAGATGGCAGGAATTGGGACCCTCTGGTGGTTCCTTTGAAGGAAACACTGGAGCCCCAGCTCTGAAAGAGGCTATTCCAGTTCAAAGTCAATAAAATACTGCTCTTGTACAAATCTGTGATATGCCCACACTAGAAATATGGTATACAGTTCTGAAAAAAGGACATTTTAATGTTCAAAAGAGTAAAGAAAGGGGGTACTATATGAGTGAGGGGATGCCGCAACTCCCCTTTGAGGGAAGGTCACAACATCTAGAACTGTTTACCTTAGCAAAAATGGATGAGTAAGAGGAGATATGATAGAGGTGTACAAAATTATGCATAGTGTGGAGAACATAGGAAGGAAGGAGATGGATTCTTCTTCCTTTGTCATAATACTGGAAGGCGGCAGGGTCATCCAGTGAGCCTGAATGGGAAATTGGAAACCCGGGAGAAGGACCTCTTCACACAGCATATCCCTAAAACTTGGAATTTGATACTGCCAGATTTAGTGACAGCCACCAGTTTGGATGGCTTAGAACCCATGGCTTAGAACCCATTTTGGTGGATCTCAGTGCTTGTGGGCTTCTCATAGCCAACTGGCTGGCCACCATTTGAACAGAATGCTAGGCCAGATAGGGTTTTGGTCTCATTCTAGCAGGCTTTTCTTATGGACTTAGGAAATCTTAACTTTAAAAATGTTAAAACCCAGAGCTATCTGGCTCTTATGAAGAATATTCTGGTGGGTTCTAGCTCCTCGGAGCCTCGGCGTTCCATCCTGCTCCCCTGCTGAGCTGGAGCGCAGTGTCTGCTTATTTGTTAATACCCCATTTTTCCAGACAAAATGCCTTCTGGAAAGCAGCTTATAGCTTAAATTCAACTTAAATATAATACAAATGGTTTTTTTTTAATTATGGAACCTCTTGAAAATTGTGTGTGGTAGAACTCCAGTGGGCACATCCTACTTTTGATGGTCATCTGATGGTCATATTCTACTTTTCAAGTGACAGTGGTGAAGAGTATTTGTGCAAGGGAGTACTGAATAATAAAACTGTATTCTGCACCTAGGTATTCCGAGTTCTGTGACCTGTATAGAATGTACAACTGAAAAACTTAGCATAATTTCCTTTTCAGCTGCATAATTTATTCTGCATGGTTTCCACATTTTTTCTGGTTTTACTAAATCCTTTAAAAGCTGGATTGCACATGGATGTTTGAGTATATCCTCAGAGAAACATAGTCTTTAAAAAAACCACGCAAACTGATCTTCAGAGGAAGTGGAATGCTCCACAGATAGTCCATCTTGTATTCAGTTTCTGTGCTCCCATAGAATTGCAGCAAATTCAAGCCATACTCTGAATCATATAAACTGCTCAAAGCTTCTTGCAGGTGAAAGTTAAAAGAAGCAGCACAACAATGTAAGAACAAGTAATAAACTATTAAGGAGATAAAACAATTTAGAAAAACAAAGAAACCAGGAACCAGTTAGGTTGTCGACCTGTTGGGATGAAAAGGTCCTCAGGCCATGACAGAGTTCCACCAATCCAGGAGCCACATGGATCTCCTGGGGACCAGGGAGTTTCATAACTTAAGCCCTACTATGGGAAAGGTCTTTTCTCACATCACCCACCAGCCAGGCCACTAATGGCAACAAGACAGGAATATGGCCTTCTCCCAGTGACTGGAGGGACAGATGGGTTGATGTGGGAGAAGATGGTTCATCCAGGGTATATATGTATTTTCCTGTTTGAGAAATGGTTGTGGGTGTCCTAGAGGTGGCTCTTGATTCTGTGACTTCAATGGAAGACAATGCCAGTGTCATGGTTCTGGTACGCCTGGTTGCCCTCCTGTCCTTCTAGGCTTTCCAGAAACATTTGATTAGTCTTTTTGGGAAAGGATGCTTAGCTAGATAGACTTTAGTCTGACCTTCTTAGATTTCTTTATGTTCTTCCTCAGAGATAAACAGAAATGTGAAGCTTTGGCTATGGGGTGGCATACAAATGCGATAGATAAATAAATAAAAAATAAACCTCCCTAAGCATGTTGCAGCTGCAGACCTGGGATGGACATCAGTGTCCTGGGAACACCCAGGCCACCCTTGAAAGTGGCAGCAGGGATACAGGATGCTCCGGAATGAGGACTGGAAGGTTCCGTTCTCAGATTGGGGAATGTGTGCACCACTGGGGTATAGCACTGGAGTATACGTGGGAGCCAACCTGAGTGCTGCCTTTGTTTTGGTAGAGAGGTTATGAATCAAATCGATAAATACTCTACGCTAAAGATGGCCCAATATGGGTGGTGCATACTCCAACAATGAGTCTCAATGAATGACTCAAGAACAAGGATGCAGCCTCTGCAGCTCTTCCCTGAATGACAGGAACAGCTCTCGTGCTTGATTGTGATGCAAATTTATCATTCCTGTTCTCAGGTTAACTGATGGCAATGAGTATCTCTTCCAAGCCAAAGATGATGTAAGTTTCTATTACTTGTGCTCTTCTTTTCATTTTGTCTAAATAATATTAGTGTTTTATTAGCAACCGAGTTACTCCATAATGTGTTAACTTCGCATTCTGCATTAAGGAATAGATTTTAAATTTTCCTGGTTGGCAAAGACCTTCATCTCACCCTCTGGCCTATGTGTTGTTATGCCATCCTAACACAAGGAGGTTCTAGATTTTCATTTTCTCATTTATGATAGGCACATACTTTTGGGGAAGGGTCTGCAGAATTTTTGAACTCCTGGGAACGGGGTGTGTATTCCAGACACCCCCTCCCCCAACTTCAGCGCACATTATGGAATCATGAATGTAATTTTCTTTTAGGCAATGTTTGTAAGATTAGCTGTTCAGATGTTTATGACCCAGATCTGCCAGTGTCCATTCTTTTCTGGAAGTAAAGACAAATAAGCTATCTGAATTGAGGATTTTAAACATTCCCTATCTGGAGTGTCGTGGGCAAAGCCTAGAACGTGCCTCCGCCAGATTTCAAGATGGAAGCTCAAGGAGGAGCCATAGCTTGGCTCCTGCTTTGCATGCAGATGCTTTCAAGTTCCATCCCTGGAATTTTGAGCTAGAAAAGTTAAGTGAAAGACCCCTTTCTAAATCCCTTGAATTCTACTGCCAGTATTAGTTAGGCTGGTCTCACCTGGCATGAGGTGGGCTATTGTTTCCAAATATGCCCATATCCCCCAGCTTCCTTTGATCAGACTGCAGACTCGTTCACTGTCTCCATCCAGAAGAGCCCGCCTCTGGGTGAATTTGCTATCGCATGTTCTTCAGCTCATTAGTCTCTTTCTGCATGGTTTCAATTTCAAAAATCCATTTATATCAGGTGCATTATTTCAGGGTGGGGGCCAGATCTGACCCACCTGGCCAATCATTGGTAATTTTCTGGGTTTCCCAACTTTTGTACAGCTTTTTCCCATTCTGGAAGATTAAAATGCCTCCTCTAAAGCTTAGCAACTGTCAGTAAGGCCTTTAAGCTAAAGTAGGCTGGATTTGAGGGGGGGCATACTTTCCTCACCCCTTGTTGCCTTTGACCCCTTCTACCACTGCAGTGTGCCCCCAAGAGGTTTTCTGTAATGAAGGTTTTGTAATGGTTCTACAAAATACTTCTACACCCCTAATTAATGCTTCTTCGTCGTGGCCTCTGTGCATCACACATACTGGTTCTGCGCCTGCGCAGTGCCTTTGGCCGGAAGATTAACAGCTAATGGTTTTTGGCAGGAACTCCACTCCCCCTCCCCCCTAGCATTATATAAGGAGCGGAGTGTCCGTCATTTTCCAGTCTTTGAAAGACCGACGTTCATTGTGCCTCGTGCCGCTTCGCTTTCACTAAGATTATTACTTACCTTCTTGCTCGTTCGAAAATCTCTCCTTTTTCCTACCAAGTTTGTATCCCTTGTTCTTGTTGTTAGTACTTCACTTATATTTCTTCTTAACTTTGCACCATTTTTTCCTCTTTATCGTTCCTATTAAAAAAAACAAAAACAAAAATATTACTTTCCCGCTTTACTATCTCCTTTTTTCTTCTTTCTACGATGGCGCAACGGGCGGCGTTCCGCAAGTGTGGAAAATGCGGCTCCAAAATGTCCGCCGCAGACCCGCATGCTCTGTGCCTCCTTTGTTTGGGGGAAGGGCACAGAACCGATAAGTGCGGTCATTGTTTGGCCTTCTCTAAACAGGCGAGGAAGAACAGGGAGAACTGCCTCTGCAAACTCTTATGGGACCAGGCTCTCCTCCAATTGGACCGGCTGGTGGCTAAGCCTTCCACCGTCCAACTTCGGCTGACCTGCCACAACGCCCGGCCTCTTCCTCCATTGCTCCGCCCTCACGCCCTTCTGAAGAAGGCGCTCATACCATGGCCAACCAGTCAGTTTCCCTGCCGAGGAAACAAAAGGAAAAAAGAAAGCACAGCGACTCAGATAAATAACCTGTGCATAAGAAGGCCAAGAAAGATAAGACGGGCAAGCCGGTTAAGAAGCCGAAGAACCCCGAGCAGGTAAAACACCGCCACTCGGGCTCGACCTCTTCCTCGATTCCGACCCCTGCTTCGGAACCGACCCCCTTGGTCCCGACCATCCAGGCGGCTATGAGGGTTACCCCACCGGGCTCACCGCACCGACCGACAGCCGAACCCATTCTGGATTCAAGGCGTGGTTCCATCTCTGATGGGGAAATACGAGACTCTCCATCTAGAGCTCGATCACCAATCCCGATGGATACTGAGATCGCCATCTCCCCTCCAAGAAGCCGTAGGAGCCATTCCTCAGATGCAAGGTCTGATGATTGGTACCACTCCAGGTACTCCTCCGCTCCGAGAGGGGAAGAGTACCACTCCGTAGCCTATTATCCGACCTCCAGGGGACAATCTTCGCCACCAGCGCCTCGGGAACGTTTCCATTCAACGCCCAGAGACGCCCCGAGGGCCCCATCTAAAGAAAGTGGCAGATCAGAGTCACCAGGAGATTCTTCCTCCAGTGTACCACCCCCCTACTGGATGGAATCCAACGAGTCTGAGGCTGACTCGACCTCGCCGGATGCAGTGGTTGCTTCTCAGGGCCCGGGGTCGCCTGAGGAACCGTACATATCGTTTAATGATCTGATGGCCAGACTAGTGAGATCACTCGATATAGAAGCCCACCAACAGCCGGGACCGAGCACCAATCGTTTTTATGATGTGGTCAGGGGCAAACAATCCACATCTATTGCCTTGCCGTTTATTACGACCTTACCCAGCCATGGGACCTCCCAGCTCACCCGCAACCAACTTCTCATAAATACGAGTCCATGTATCGGGTGTGGGAAGAGGACATCCCGTTTCTTCTCCGTCAACCCAAGCCGAATTCGGTTGTTGTAGAATCCTCACAGGGTCGGGAAGCCCGTGGACACACCTCTCCTCGTGACAAAGAGGGCAGAAAGGTTGATTCCCTCGCCTGCCGGGTATATGCAGCTTCGGGCCTTGGTTTACAAATTTCTAATTATGAGGCAACGCTGGCACGCTACCAATATTTCCTTATGCAACGCCTGGACACCATCATCGATACCCTCCCGGGAAACCAGGGCGAACTTGCTAAGACTTTCGTTAAGGAAGCTATGCAAGTGGCGATGCACCAGCTTTCCACCGCGAGGCACCACGTGGACTCTGATTCGAGGTCGCTGGTCGGCGCCATTTCCCTCCGCAGACACGCCTGGTTGCGTAATTGCAATTTTCCGGACGAGATGAAGCGGAGAATTGAGGAGATGCCGTTCGACGGTTCCGGTCTCTTCCATGCGAGGACGGATAGCAAATTGAAGAAAATCCATGAATCAAGGATGACGGCCCGTCGTATGGAATTGCAGTCTCTACCCCGACGTAAGTGGTCATGGTCACGTCCACAGTACCGTCAACAATTTCCGCCTTGGCAACAGCAACCACATCAACGTCAGCAGCGTCGCAGGCAACAACCACCCCAGCGCTTCCAACAGGGCTGCCGCCGCTTTGATACGGACAGGCGACAATGCTGATGCGACGAGCGAACCTCTCCTCTCATTCCAACTCTACCCTCCCCCCTCTCATTTGGGGATCGACTGAAGAGTCGGCTCTCCATTTGGGAGTCCATCACATCTGATGGGTGGGTGTTATCTATCATTCAGCACGGATATGGAATCAAATTCGACGTTGTGCCATCACCGAATCCTATCCGCTATACTCCGACTTCCTTGGTACTGTTAGACGAGATTCACCAACTCCTTGCTAAAGGAGCTATTCGTTGCCTGTCGTTATCAGAGGGATTCCACGGGTTTTATTCCAGGTACTTTACGGTCCCAAAACGAGATGGGGGTCTCAGACCAATATTGGACTTGAGAGCTCTCAATAAATTCATAACACCAAAGAAGTTTCGGATGACCACACTTCAAAGTATTCTCCCGTTGCTGGGAAGAAGGGATTGGTTCACCTCATTGGATCTGAAGGATGCCTATTTTCATATTTCAATACATCCAAGTTATAGGCGTTTCCTTCATTTTGTGGTGGACTCTGAAATCTACAAATTCAATGTGCTACCGTTTGGATTAGCCACTGCACCACGGGTTTTTACGAAGTGTATGGCTCCTGTCTGTGCACACCTTCGATTACGTGGAATTTGGATATACCTGTACCTTGATGATTGGTTGCTGGTCTCCGACACAGAAGCAGGACTTTCGTCTGCTGTTGAGTTTACATGTGCTCTATTGCACGATCTCGGACTCTGTATTAATCAACAGAAATCTTCCCTTCTCCCTACGCAGGTGATCAACTTTATCGGAGCCCAGCTGGATTCGACGTTGGCAAGAGCCTTCCTTCCTCGGGACAGACGGCATGCGATTGCTCAGTGCATCGCTCGGATTCGACAAGCAAGAACCGTCCCCGCCCGGTCTGTTCAGAGCCGGCTGGGACACATGTCTGCTTCCATCACTGTGGTTCCGCATGCCAAATTCAGGCTACATCCCCTTCAACTGTTCTTCAACGGAATGTTTCGACCACAGACAGATCCACCTACCAAACGGATTCGACTCCCGGCTTCCGTTCTTCAGTCCCTGTTATGGTGGATAGACCCAGCCAATCTGACTGTAGGCATTCCGTTTCGACCCCGGTACCCTACAGTAACCCTCGGCACCGATGCGTCCCTGCTGGGATGGGGAGCCATTTCCTCCTATCTACATACCCAGGGGATATGGAGTCACCGGGATTGCAGGAACCATATGAGTTTTCTGGAACTTCTTGCCATTTTCAAAGCCCTGCAATCATTCGAGGATGTGCTTCTACACCAGGTCGTCCAGGTGACCTCAGACAACCTGGCGACGGTCTTTTATTTGAACAAACAAGGGGGAACCCGATCCCGGAAACTAGCCCACCTGGCCATGCAGATTTGGGACTGGTGCATACCGAGAGGTATCACTCTTCTAGCGGTTCACCTTGCGGGCACAGAAAATACAGACGTGGATCTCTTGAGCAGACATATGTCATGGTCACATGAATGGGAGCTAGACCATCGGGTTCACGACATGCTATTTCACCGATGGGGCCAGCCAGACATCGACCTGTTTGCCACACAACAGAACAGGGCATGCACGGCCTATTGTTCCAGAGCGGGGATGGGTCAGGACTCGCTCGGGGATGCTTTCATGATCCCCCGGACAAATATGACTTTTTATGCTTTCCCTCCGATCCCTCTCATCATGAGAGTGTTGGCAAAGATCATTCACGAAGGGGCCACAGGGCTACTGATCACCCCCTGGTGGCCATGCCAGCCATGGTTCTCAACTTTCCTTCACGTCTCCCAAGAAGAATTTCTCCAACTCCCTCTTCTTCCTTATCTCATTACTCAGAGGGAGGGCACGATCCACCACCCAGACTTGCTGTCGCTGAAACTAACTGCATGGAGGATACGATGACCAGCTGCGATACATCGGTATCGACACCACCAACCGTCGTGGCCATTCCTGGTCAGCAGAGTCTACACCCAGACCTACAGTATATTCTCAAATCTGCACTACGACCATCTACTAGGAAGTCGTACGCGGCAAAATGGCAGAGATTCTCCAACTTTGCCAATTTACACTCGTTTCCAGCCCCCTTGGCTTCTGTTTCACAGATACTTCAGTTTCTCTTTGAATTGCATCAGTCTGGACTCAAACCTTCGTCCATAAAAGTTTATACAGCAGCGATTTCACATTACCGGGGAACTATACATGGTCTCTCCATTTTTGCTCAACCTCTGATTAAAAGATTTTTGAGAGGATTGAGTAATCTGCATCCAACTATAAGATCTCTAATGCCCACCTGGAGTCTTTCGATGGTTTTACAAGCGCTGACTCAATCACCTTTCGAACCCATGGCGACAATCGATCTACGCCTTGCTTCATGGAAGACTGCCTTCCTTGTTGCAGTGACTTCAGCCCGTAGATCCTCTGAACTCTACGCCCTTCGGGTAGACCCCCCTTTTCTAAATTTTCATAAGGAAAAAGTGGTTCTTTGGCTGGATCCATCTTTCCTTCCGAAAGTCGCTACTTCGTTTCACATGCAACAGGAGAGTGTTTTACCAGCATTCTTTCCGACCCCTTCAAATCCGATAGAGCGATCTCTACATATGCTGGACATTCGTCGTCGCTTAGCCTTTTATAGGTCCAGGACTGAGTCTGTTCGGCATTCCCATAGACTTTTTGTGAAATATTCGGAACATGACCGAGGCTGTCCAGTCACTTCATAACGTCTTTCGAAATGGATAGTAAATACAATTGTCCTGTCTTATCAGTAAGCTAAGTTCCAAGAGGTCATTCTACAAGAGCTGTTGCTGCTTCTTCGGCCTTTGCATCAGGGGTCCCGATAGAAGATGTGTGCAGGGCGGCCATTTGGGCTACCCTGTGTACCTTCGCCAGACATTATAGACTCAATGTCTGTGCCAGGCAGGATTGCTCTTTTGGCAGAGCTGTCCTTTCTTCTGTCCCTCACTGATGACATTTGGGGTAAGCTTGTTATTCTACCCATATGTGTGATGCACAGAGGCCACGACGAAGAAGAGCAGGTTGCTTACCTGTAACTGATGTTCTTCGAGTGGCCATCTGTGCAGTCACACAACCCACCCTCCGACCCCGCTTGGTGTCATGGGTGGTCCGACTATTTCTTTCGATACTATGATCTCTTTGCTATGTGTCGTACCACTACTGAATTTGGCTATCTTGTCATACTGACAAACCTTATAAGAACAAACGTTGGTCTTTCAAAGACTGGAAAATGGCGGACACGCCACTCCTTATATAATGCTAGGGGGGAGGGGGAGCAGAGTTCCCGCCAAAAACCGTTAGCTGTTAATCTTCCGGCCAAAGGCACTGTGCAGGCGCAGAACCCATATGTGTGACTGCACAGATGGCCACTCGAAGAACATCAGTTACAGGTAAGCGACCTGCTCTTACAAAACCATAATATGAAGCAGGAAAGCTGGGCTGCTATAGATCTCTCAACACTGCTGTCTTTCTTAAGGAGGAAATGAACACCTGGATCCAGGCCATCACCTCTGCGATCTCCTCAGACAAAATCGAATTGTCCTCAAGCACACAGAGCACCCCAGCTACGAGCCGTGCCCAGACCCTTCCTGCCAGCGTGACAATAACCAGCGAGTCCAGTCCCGGCAAGCGGGAAAAAGAGAAAGAGAAAGACAAAGAAAAGAGATTCAGCCTTTTTGGGAAAAAGAAGTGAACTACCTGCTTTTCTGTACACGCTGCACTTCTCCAATCGTTCCAGTGGAATTCCGGCATGCAAGCTCAGAACCAATACATTACTCTCCGTGCCTAATGTTCCTCAATGTGATTTAATTTTTTTTATTTATAGAGCATTTTTAAAAAAAACACACAAAATTCTAAAGCTACAATTGTCTGAGGTGCATTGGGCAACTTAGGAGTAAGAGAGAACACCTGGTTTCTTTTTTGTTTTCATTATTTTCCCTTTTTTCTCTTGGGTTGTTTTTTTTTTTTTTTTACGGAATTTAATGTAGATTAGTTCTTACTATTTAAACGGTTCCTCAATTTTTTGAGGCTGTCTTGAAAAACAGTGCCCCACTTAGTGTTATTGGTATGCAAGGCAGCAGTGCTTATAAAGTTAACATGCCCACCAGAGACCAATGTGCACAGTTTTATTTTGTTTTTTTCACTTCCATCTGAGTTGGTTGCACTGAGTCTTGACTACTCGATTTTCCCCACTGCGAATCTAACTTGTAATAAAATGGTAGCGTATTCTCTTTACCATAGTAGAGTGCAGCCCAACATTACTTACAGACAAAAACCATTTGCATCCAGACATCTGAATATTATTAACAAGATTGTGACTCTTTTTCCCTCCTGCATCCGGCAGCGACAGTTAAGAATGTTGGTATGGACAAGAAGGACTTAGCATACTGATAACAGTTTTAAATAATCTGTAATTTTGATTTTTTTTTTTTTGCTGAAATACATTATATTGTATGTTTCAGATAATTCTAGTAAAAAGTATAATAAGACTAGATGTATAATAAAAAACCCTTTAAAATCATTGATGACGTGTAAAAGTGGAACTGAATCATTTACTGGAAAAAAGTAATGTTACTCCAATGGTTAACATGCTTGTCAGCTGCTGCACTGTGTTATAATTTTGCTACATTACCTTTGCTCTTTGATACATAGTGTGCATTTCTTTGTCACTGTAACTATTGTAATGAACAATTTTCATCTTACTGCACAATCAAAAAAACATTTAATAGGAATGAATTCTCAATGATTGGGCCTGTAGTCAGGATAGTACTGGGACTGGCTTTCGGTTGTACGGAACTGTACCTCTAAACTTTTACCCTATCTGTTAAATATATGCTATGTCATTAAATGCTTTTAAAACTAATGCCGATAGATTTCTTCTTGCTTCTTTCTTTAAAAAGACATTAATATCTCAAATAACGATTGAGAAGAAAGAACAAAGGTGAAATAACTTCTTGACAAATGTATAAGCCAGGGTGGGTAACATGCGGCCCCCGAGGACGACTGTTGCGGCTTCCATTGGGTAACTGCCTGTCTGTGCTCTCTCCCAAGCCTGCCAAGCAACTTTAGCAGACCTGGGAGAGACTGATTCTTCCCATATGCTGGTTTTCCAAGAGCTGGTTTTCCAAGAGCATTGCTGGTTCTTGGAAGATTAGCACACTGTATTTCTCTGAAGAAGGGCATGCCATTCCCACCAGCTCTTTGATGGGTAGAGGAGGTGATCAGTTCTGCTAAGAAAAATAATTAATGCTTCTGGCACGCTTTGCCCCAGAAAAATTGCTGAAAATGCAGCTACATGGAAATTTCTGGTTGCAATGGTGGGTGCAGGGTAGAGGTGTGCTCTTGGAGAATTCCAAGGATCCAGTGCAGCTCTACAGTCCTCTGCAGTTGTTTACCCCAGTACAGGCAAAGGAACTTGTGCATCAGTCTGAGTTCCCAGTATCTTTTAGTTTTCTGTACTGTGTTGACCACTTTCCCACTTTCATTACAACCTAATATTCATGCACAAATAAACTGGAATTTAGGGGATGGGATAAGATCAGATGTGTCGCCCTGCCCCCACATCTACCACCATGCACAAATACTCAGTGTGCCCTTCTTAATCTGATTTTGGTGGAATGCGTCTGTGGCAACCAGTATTAAAATGACCTAGAACAAGGGGTTTGATCCAGATTTAGGTATGTGCATTGGGGCTGCAGAAAGCAGACTCCTCATGCAATATAGTCACAGTACAGTGGATCTATGCACTAGATGCACTGCATTTCCAGAAGCATGAAAAATGCTGTATAATGTAGCTATTACACCCCACCCCAAGGCTAAGATAGGTTTTATAGCAGATGACCTGCTTTCTTTTGTTCAAGGTACTGCACCGACCCACACCAAATGATGGTCCTCCTGTGGATTTACTATCATTTCTTGCACTGTTCTAGTTTGAGGTATATAACAGGCCTTCTATGAGCAGAATACACCTTTCATATTTGGAAGCACTTCTGGTATCCATACTCGAAACTTTTAATCAGCAAAATATGTGCACATATATTTAACATGTCTGCTTTTCCTTCTAAACATGACCTTATAATGCAATCATCATCTTCCAAGACTGATACATCAGTTCTTAATAATACCATTTATATTATTGTAAGCATGATCAACTGCTGGTGGAATCCACACACCAAGTGATTTTTGACATCCTTGAAACAAATGGCATCCCAATCTTCTTTACTTCCCTTCTCCTGCCTGGATTTCTGACTCACTCAGCTCCAACATGTTTTTTATCCTTTGTAGCTGTGCCAGTCCAGTCAGTTTGGTGCATCCCTTGACTGTCCATTCCATACACACCTGCCCAGCCACAGAACTTGAGAACTTGTCTTCAAACTAGATTTGTGTCTCTTCTCCGCCTTATAGTCACTGACATTGGGTCTCCCTGTTGCTGGGCTCATGTTCTCTCTCTGTATTGTTGGACTTTACACCCGTCCTTTGGTTCCCATTCCTCATGATGGCCAATCCATGAGATCAGGATGCAAGCTATATCGAGACTGGAACCTAAGAAGAGCCTCATGAGATCAGACCAAGAGTCCATCCAGCACGCAGTTCACACAGTGGCCAACCAACTGCCCAGGAGAAACAAGCAAGGCATGAGTGCAACAGTACCCTTATGCCCAAATTCCCCAGCAATAGGTGTACATAGGAATATACCTCTAGCACGGTAGTTAGCAAATAACCAATCAGAACTAGTAGCCATTGGTAGCATTTTTCCAAGTTTTTTCATTTTAGGACAGTGGCAAACAGGCAAGGTTCTTGAGTATGTGATGGTCAACCAGCTCCAGGCACTCTTGGATGAGACTGATGATCTGAGTCCATTTCAGTCAGGGTTCAGGCTTGGTTTTGGCATGAAAACAGCTTTGGTTGCCCTGCGAAATAGCCTGTTTCAGGAGAGAGGTAAGAGTGTGATCCTGTTAGTACTCCTGGATCTCCCAGAGACTTTGATATCAACCATGGCATCCTTCTGGAGCAGCTACCTGAGTAGGGAATAGAAGGTACAACATTACAGTGGTTCTACTCCTATGTGGACAGCCAGCTCCAGAAGGTGGTGCTTAGGGGCTATTGCTCAGTCCCTTGGACGCTCCAGCTTGGGCTTCTACATGGAACTGCTGAGTGGGGTAATCCACAGTTTTGGAGTGAGTTGTCATTGGTATGCTGATGACACACAACTGTATTTCTCCTTCTCTTTAGCAGGTGATACTGTGGATATGCTAAACTGATGTCTTGGACATCGGACTGGATGAGGGCTAACAAACTGAAGTTCAATCCAGGCAAGACTGCGATCTGTTAGTGGGTGGTTCTTCCAATTGGATGGAGGGGATGCAAACTGTTCTGGATAGTACTGCACTCCTGAAGGAGCAGATTGGTAGCTTGGAGATGCTCCCTGAGTCATTTGTTACTTGGGCCCAGGCAGCCCCAGTGGCACAGAGTGCTTTTACCAGCTTTGGCTAGTGGCCCAGCTACACCCCTAGCCAGATATGGCTAGCCCGGTTTCAGTAATCTATGGTCTGGTATTCTAGATTACGGCAATGCACTCGACATGGGGCTGCCCTTGAAGACTGTTCAGAAGCTGTAGCTTGTGCAAAATGTGGCAGTCAGGCTAATATCAGGGACCAGAAAGCAGGAATACATAGAACTAATTCTGGTCTGCCTACATTAGCTGCCTACCTGCTTCCAAGCCCGATTCAAGGTGCTGGTTTTTAACCTATGTAGTTTAGAACTACAATATGCGATGGAAGGCTTCAACCCACAATCTATGTGGACCCAGTCTACCAACCCATAATGCCCCAAGCACAATCTACCTTGACACTACAATCAAGAACTGGGGACTGTCTCTGCCACCTCCAAGGAAGGCTCAATTGCTGGCAATGAGAAGGGTCTTCTCAGTAGCAGCCTCCCCAGTTACGAAACAGACTGACCCCCCGACCCCCGAGGCCTGCCTGCCTGGCATCAACTTTAATGCCCTTTTGGTAGGAGGTTAAGATTCTCGTTTTTGACAGAGCTTTTGATTAGTTTTGCATTATATTGGAGCATTATGTCAATGCTTAACAGGGCTTATGATTTAATCCATGTAATGCATTGTAACTTAAAAATTGGTTTAAATTTTTTATATTCTGTATTGTATGTTTACATGATTATGTATTGTATGTTTTATTATTATTCTGTTCAAATTTTATTGTATTTTATTTGCTGTTGCGAACTGACCAGATAGCTTTGGCTATTGGGCATGAATCATCATCATCATCATCATCATCATCATCATCATCATCCTATAGTATCCTTTTGTACACAGTATTCTAAAGGTGGCTGCACCCTAAATGTGCATAAAGACAGTATGATCTTGGCACCTTTACTTTCAGGTGAGGCAGTGGTTGTCCTTAACCAGTGTCTGGCTAGAGTAATGGGTTCAGTGAAGGCCAGTAAATTGAGACTTAATCCAGACAGGATGGAGGTCCTGTTGCTAGGTGGTTCAACTCTCCAGGTAAGTTATTTTTGCCCTGTCCTGGATGGGGTTACGTAGTCTAGGCATGCTGCTCAACCCAGATTTATCCTTGGCGTTCCAGGTGACCACTGTGGCAAGAAGCACTTTCCTCCAGCTTTGGCTGATCCATCAATTACGCCCTTACCTGGATGAGCAGTGCCTGGCAATGGTGACCCATGCTCTGGGAACCTTACTATTGTAATGTGCTCTACATGGGGCTGCCCTTGAAGATGGTCTGGATACTTCAGTTGGTTCAGAACAGAACAGCCAGGTTGCTAGTAGGGAGCGGCAGATATATACACATAACGCCGGTCCTGTACCATCTGCACTGGCTTCCAATAGAAGTCCAGGCCCAAGTTAAGGTGTTAGTGATGACTCATAAAGCCCTAAACAGTTTAGGACCTGGATATTTGAGGGAGTGCCTCCTTCCATATACACCTGCCCAATCTCTAATATGTGGAGGGGAGTTCCTTCTGCAAGAGCCCTCTTTGAAGATCTGAAGAGTGGCTACCCAGAGAAGGGCCTTCTCTGTGGTGGCCCCCAGCGATGGAATGGACTTTCCAGAGAGGTGTGCCTGGCACTGACACTTTTTTCATTTTGGCACCAGGCCAAAACCATTTTATTTCCCTGGTATTTTAAATGTTAGTGTTGTTTTTAACGTTGATTATATATGTTATTGTGATGCTGTGTCTTGTTTCTGTTATCACTGTCCTGAGACATTATGAAGGGCGGGATACAACCTTTTTAATAGATAAATAAGTAACTAAATAAACCTAGCTGCACCAATAATAATAGAATCATAGAATAATAGAGTTGGAAGGAGCGTGGAAAGTCAATCAAGTCCAACCCTGCTCAGTGCAGGATGCCAAGAGAAAGCGTCCCTGAGGGATGGCTGTCCAGCTGCCTCTAGATTGCCTTGAATGTGGGACAGCCCACCAGCCTCCTTGTAATTGGTTCCATTGCTGTACTGCACTATGTGAGGTTCTGAGGCAGCACCAGGGCTCCCTCTTCTAGCCAGAGACCAGACTAGCAGCCCTGGTGGTTGCAGGACTGGGCCCACAGCCAACCACAGCCACCTGGGATGTTACGAGCACCATCTGGGAGCCCTGAGGGGAGAGCTATATAAGAACAAGCTCTTCCCTCAGATGTGGCCTCAGCAGCAGAGGTCTTTGGAGTGGTCTGTGTCTCCTGGAGCTGGTTGCTGTGCTCCTGGACCATGCCCAGCTTTACCTGCTCTGCCTTCTGTTCCAATACCAGGTATCTGCTTCTCTTCAGCTTGTCTCTCTGGCTTTCCACTCCTGACTGTCATTGACTGCTCTGCTCTATTTGGATTGTACTAC